TCACCTGATTTTATAGATACATTATTATTTATTTAATACCTATTAAACCATAAAATATTAACGTGTGACAATATTTATACATGAAGGGCAATACAATTCATTCATTTTTCTGTGAAATGATAGATGCATTATATTAGGTATAGGTACCACACAGTAATAAAATAAACGTCATAATAATTAAAAATCCTACGTATGATTATTGTGAAGGTTATTTTTTTATTATTAAGCGTATTAAGAGGCAGTCATAGGTGAATTCACCGTCTCTTTAAAATCGGTTTTAAAAATAAAATACTTATTATACAATTTGTAGTTTACAACATTTTGATGACAACCTCGTCGGAAATTTTTAAAGTATTTATTATTAGTAACTGAAAGTTATTTTTAAAAAAAAATAAAACATTTCAAATATTATATTTGATATCTTCGATAGTGTATTGACTTTTAAGTGAATTGTAAAACGTCAACGATAAATTTTCTTTAACATTTAATCATCTGATAATTTCATAATAGGTATTTTATCTCTAAAACTTATTGTAATTTTTTTTGGTACATTTTAAAACTTAAGACTGCAAATTTAACTGTGACTGCCTCTTATAATTACATCCGATTTTATTATGTCCTTCATGATTTTATTTATTTCGGTTTGTAAAGCTTTTAAACCGCGTATATTAATGTCGGTTTTATAGATTTCTTAAAAGAATCATTGCCTTAAAAAAAAAAAACAACTTTACGTTTTATTTCAAACAGCACGGGAAATTGTTTTTCCTTTTAATAAAATAGAATATTTCAGTCGGACTATACTTACCATAAATGCGAAACAAGTTTTTAGCTGCAGTTGTACATGAAATTTGTTATCTCGGACGACCGGAATTTCTTACAGACTATATAATATTCTTTTTGATCATAGTATGTTTCACACAATTTGTGATTACTCCATTACTCTATTTTGCGGTACACATATACTATAAAATAATGTAACCTACTATAAAATGTTTCATTTTAAGTTTCCTAGCCTAAAAAAAAAAAATGTTTAATATATTAACTGTAGCGCAAAAGCATACTAAGTATTTAAAATATCCATATATATAAATATTTTAAAAATATTGAATACAACAAAAGTTAATTCAAATGATCATTGTGGGATACTCTGTAGATGTGTATATAATATAATCAATATTAAAAAAAAATAGCTTAAAAACTACCTCCCTCCCATAAAAACCAACTAACCTGACCTCTTAGTGAGGTCTGCGCATGCCTATGGGTACATACATAAGTTTTTCTATGTTTTAATGCTATGAAATAAGCCCCCATATGTATAGTCAATATCATATTAGATATCACTTAAAATTAATTAGGTGTTACCTATGGGGCACATTACTTACACTTAACAAATCTGTAAAGTTTCATTGCATAGTTAAAATTCAAGAAGATCGGAGAACGAGGGCCAAACTGGGATAACGAAGATTACCAAAAATTGCCAAACAAATATATATTTTTTAACCTAAAATATGTGAATTCATACATAAAGTAACAAAATATACAAAATTATAGAATTTCTTTTTACGTGTTAGGCAACAACATAATTAGAAATACACAAGCTTAAAATAAAAGATTAACAAAATAGAATAAAATAGTAACTCTTAATTGCTTTGGTAAGTTCAGTCTTTGCTATCTAAATTGTCATAAGTCCAACCATTACAAATTTACCTATACTAAACCATATCTATAGCGTTATCGTTTTCTTTTGCAAGGTCCTTGTCATTTACTGCATTTCAGTAGGTGATCCATTCTTCACCACACTCACACAGTGTTGCTGAGGCTTCTAAGTAGCCTCACTTCTTTATATTAGCTTTACATCGTCCAACTTTTGTTCGTAATTGGTTTAGGCTTCTCCGTATTGCCCATTTATTTTTGTTCAAGGTTTTCTGTCGGCATTATCCATGATGTTTCGTATCCTATTTTTTCTCTCCATCTCTTGATTTTCTCTTCTTTAGGATTTCTCGTGATAAGCTTGGTCCTCCTCATAAAACTATTTCTGGATTTAAGCCGGTATATATATTTTTGTATTCCACGCATTATGTGTTGGGTGCCATTAATAATTTGTATTTGTTCCCAGTCAGCCTGTACGGATCGTCAGATTTAAGGTGGAACTATACCAGATAAAGTGTGCAGTTTTTTTACTGGAGTAAAGCCAGTTTTTTTAGACACCCAGTGATTAAATGGAATGTTTCATTCTAAGCTCTAACTATCTGTTTCAAGTGTGTGGACCTTCTCCATACAGGACTTGCGAAATCTCCGGTTGAAAAACAGATTACTCTTAATGCATGAAGCTCCGCTTTCCAGATTCAATTAGCTTACGTAACAAACCATTTCTCGTATTTATTTTCATATTCATTTTTTCCCAGTATACTTTATATATTAATGACCTGTCTAGAGTTACGCCAAGGTATTTTGGATTTGGATTGTTGGCTAGCTTGACACCTTTCCAAGTTACCTGAAATTTTCGATGATCTTCCTTGTTTAAGAGATGAATCGTACAAACTTTGTTATTGAAGGGTTTGGTCGTAGACATTTACCTTGGAATTTCTTGTATACACAGGACGTCACATGAGGTTTTCTTACATAATCACGCCAGAATGTCTTCTTTATGAGATAGTAATCTAAAGAGTACTATTCCACTGTTGCCTGGGATACACTGGGTAGAGGTTTCTTCCGTGTACCTCATTACCTTCTGTGTTATTATGTGATTCTATCGTCATCGGTTTGGAAGTCGACTACAAAAAAGTGATTTAAAAGTGGTCGGTTTCATCAACAGCACAAGCACAAAAACATAACCACAAAAAAAACGTCCATGAGTAGTCCGTGTGAGTTTAGCCTAACCTTTATTAATCGAAGTAAAGATTAAGAAAATAGAATTTTCCCAGAAAACGAAACTGGCTCCGGACAAATTCGGAATTAACCCGGAAAAATTACACAGTTTAAATTTGTATACTCGAAATGTAGACGGTACCTATAAAATAAATTTATACCAAAACCAGCAACAAATTTTTTTTTTTTTTAAATTGAAGATCTGAGAAAATTCTTATGGATTTTTAAAAGCTCTTTTATATCTTCTTGGTACATTTTGCTTTCGATAAAATAAATTCTGAAAAGTTAATTTTAATTATGATTGAAGTATTAGATATTTAATTATATTAAACTAACATTAGGTGAATTATTTTCATCAGAAAACTGCTCAAAGGTCATTCATATTGGAATTGCTAATTGAATGAAAAAAATAATAAATTGTTATCTATATAGTACACAGACGGTGTCATGACAAATTTGTGAATAGATTAAATTAATTGATAACATTATTATTTTTGTGTTTAAATGATACATAATTAAAAATAATCGTAGTTTACGAATCCGCTAAAGGTGATCTATCCACCGCTTAGTTTTAAGTGAAACCTTTAGGCCCAGGTTAACCTTTAAAGTAACTGTGCAACGCAATTTTATGGAAATGTGCTTAAGTGGCACTTAAATTAACTTTAGGTTTCCAACACTATGCATACAGGTAAAAATATTTTATTTCGAAATAAGTTAACATAATGAAAACAAATATTCATTATATAATAATATAAAATTGTGTAAATCATTTTTTTCGAAAGTAATTAAGTACTTCATTATATAGTTTATATAAAAACGAATTACAATAATTAAATCATATAAATTATTAATATTATAAATCATTCGCTGACGGGCTCGTTTGGATCTCCTCGGCCGAATGTTTGGCTGTGGCCGGCCTACGTTCTTCCGGCCGGTGCCCAACCAGCTGAAGCTCACTTAGAAAAGCTAAGGATCGAACATTATTATTTATAAAATATGTATTATATATTTACTATCATTAAGTGTTTAATACATTTACTCATAACCATATCATTTAAACAAAAAATTAAAACGAATTAAAATTAAAACCATATCTATTGTGATAACATTTTCCAAATTCAAAATAGGAATATTATAATAACGATTTTCTATGACATTGGGACTGAATACCAATAGTAGATTTTGCTGTTTTATTGATTATATTATTTTAAATGTCGTCATAACAGCTACCATCAAATATAATGCGTTATAGTACCGCAACTTACTAATGGTTGGCCATAATGCAAGACTTAATTATGGGTCCCAATTTTTAACAAATTTTCAAAGCAATATAGAAGTATAAGTAGAAGTATATAAATATTGATAATGTCAAGTGCATTATACTTTTAATCCCTTTTCCAACCACACACCAATAGACAAGATATTATAAATGTTGATTTTTTCCAATTTAAACACAATATTAGTTATTAAATTAAAATATAAATAGCATAAAATAAATTATTAACAAAACCGTGACAGTAACTGATAGACTTAAATATATAATGTAGTTTAGAGGAGTTATTTGTAGTTGGAATTTAACTTTTATAAGGTGAGGATAAATCATTTATAAAAAATGACAATTCTTGAATCGCTTTCATATTTGACTGTCGAATAAACTCTTTTAATGAAATTAACTATTTGATTAAATCTTGTGTCACATCATTATTGTAAAATGAGAAAGGGGTATGGAAACGAAGGAACGCTGTAGCACTCTTGAAGTTAATACTGGAAAGGTCCTCCCCCTAAAAACCGCCGTATCTAAAACAGCAAACGAATTCGCTAAAATCCTCCGAGATAATAATCATTGCTGTTTGGCGATAAAAAAAAAAAAAAAAAAAANCGCTCGGGCAACTGCGCGTATAATATTATTATTACATTCAGTCCGAGTGTTGTATGCGATTCATTACGACGAAAAGCGAACGATTTTGCCACTGAAATTAATTATTTTCATTTTCCTACGGCTTGTCGTAAAACGTTTGTTGAAATGGCTGATTTGAATTTCCCCGACGCTGACCGGTGATATCTCTTCAATATTCTAAGATAATGTACTGATAGTCATTCTCTGACGGGCTCGTTTGGATCTCCTCGACCAAATGTTTGGCTGTGGCCGGCCTACGTTCTTCCGGCCGGTGCCCAACAAGCGATCTTCACTGCGTAGGCCGGAGAGGAGCTGACCCGAGGTGCGGACAGCGTTTTCCCAGGCCACGGGGTGGGTTGTATTCCGGTCGTTCTCGTTGTTTTCGTAAGTCAGAGTACAGCCTCGTCACCCCGGCCGTGATGACGACGGTGGCGTTTCCTTCACGGGCTACGGGACGGTCCGTATTCCGGAGAGTCTTTGCCGCCGGAAAGGTCGACCGCTGCCGGTATTCCTCAGACTACTGTATGGTGAAAAGCCTATTAAAAAACACGGTCTTTATATTCGAAAAAATTGATTTCAGGTCGAAAGGGGTTTATCCGGAATACCGATGATCCACAAAAAGGAGAACACCATCCCGGCCCTTGCGGAACAAGCACGGTGGACCTAAGAGAGACGTTGTTCTCGGCGGCAAGGGTTCGCCGGAATACGGACTTCGCGTGGCCCGTGGAGAAGACGCCGCTGTCGACATCGCCGCCGGTGTGACGAGCTAGAAAAAACCAGACCGGCCGGAATACAACCCACTCCGTGACCCGGGAAGACGCCGTCCGCACCGGGGTCAGTTCTTCTCCAGCTTACGCATTGAGGATCGCTTCCTGGGTACCGGCCAGAAGAACGTAGGCCGGTCACCGCCAAACATTCGCCCGTGGAGATCCAAACGAGTCCGTTAGAGTATTATTATCGATACATACGCCGGTCACCGCCGAGGAAATTCAAATCAGTCCGTTCAACGTTTTTCTATATATTACTTATGTTAAATTTTTTTTTTTTCTATATGTTACTTACGTTAAATATTTTTTTTTTTTTTCTATATGTTACTCATGTTATTCATTTTTTTCGATTGTTAATTATTAACAAATTATTCATAAATGTAACTGTCTTTTTATTTAAGTCGGGTAAGTACCTATAAGTATCGCTGTCGTAAGTTAGAGAAGGGTATGAATAAGGAGTTGCATCCAAAAATTGCACAAATATGATTTCAACTACAAAAATGTTGATTAAAAAAAACCGCACACTTTGTCAGTTGACAGGTAGGTACATTGTGTAGCCGAATACCACACACTTATACTGGATAAAACGTCTTTTGTATAGATACACATTTATATTTTTTTTTATTTTTCGTTTGTAAATCAGATGACATAGGTAATATTAAGATTACTTGGTTTTAAAATTTACATAATTCAAATACGTACACACTTGTTTTTTGTATATATATATATATATATATATATATAATTTTTACAACAATTATCCATCTACAAAATAGTATTTACAATAATGGGATGCTAGCTAATTATGACGTCGTGGGGTCTACCACGTTTGAGTCTGCGACTGTTTAAAGTTTTAAAATATTTTGTCACATAGAAATGCTTATATCTTATTGTAAGTACGCTCAATACGCTCTCAATCTAAAACAAAATCATAGCAAAACCAATAGATTCTTCGATCCACTCCAAATTTAAGAGCACAAATCATAGTAGTTCTAAAACATTCTTCGCTACGCTTAAAATTCTAAGATCATCATAAACAAACGTTTTCAATTTTAAATATCAAGATTTATAATCTGTAGGTTCTGGTTGAATTACATAATTATCACAATTAGTAAATTATCAAATCATAAATACTCGTTTAAAGCTCATTTTCTTTAAGTCCAGTCCACTACGTCAATATTGAGTCAGTATAGTTACATTAGATACTTTGCCTAGACACTTTTTTAATTAGACCCAGCATATTAAAATTTATTTTGTTGGGTTCTGAGAGGTGTGTACATTTTAAATTTTCGATTTCTGCAAACGCGTACAAATATAATAACTGGATAACAATATTTTTATTCAAATTGTTTTAATGATTATGTGTTAATTGTGCTAATAATATGAAGGGAAAAATCCAGAAAAATCCCTCTTTTTCAAATTGGCGATATTGGTATCAAATAATTTGTATTGACGTGCCGTATCTTTTATGCGATCGAAACGGCGAAAAAACCAAGTAAGTCGAAAGTAATAAATGCCAGAAATTTAGGCCTACAGGAAAAAAAAACTGATAATCAATTTATAACTAGGTAAATGTTCGGTTAATACACATAATAAATGCCTCGGTCAATATTATATGACATTAAATTATTAATATTATAAATTTTGTACACCACAAATACAATTCAATGTTATCAAATATGTAACTCATTAAATGGAATTATGTTTGTGTTGCTCAATCGCATAATATTATCACTGAATAGATAAAAATATGGATCAAAAATAGATCACATGTATTGTCTTATTATACGAAAAAACAAAAACAAAAAAAAGGACGGGCATACTTCACACGTAGGTACAGCCACTTTTGTAGGTGGGAAATTGGGAAGATATAATACAGACGGGAATTTAATGTATATCTGTAAGCAACGATAAACCATTGCTAACGAAAAAACGATTCTGAGCTGTTCAGTTGATAATTTATCTTTGTCAACAATACAATATATGGTATTATGTCATATTATGATAAAATGTTTAAAACAATGTGCGTTTCTATGACAACAAAGATTATTTAAAAAATATTAAAATAATAAACTAACAATAACGAAAAATAAACAAAAACTTTGTATGTAAACACTTTTTCTACCCGAATGCATACTCCGGTTATCAAGAATAGCACCTTTTCTGAAAGGAAATGTTCTCTGGGTGATACTTTTAAAACGTAATTTTTTGAAATTCTCATTAATATTCGAGATAGTGAGGAAAACCTCAGTCTTTACGTTAAAAAAGATTGAAAGATTAAAAATAAAGTTGTCATTGGCAACCATTTTTATTTATTTTTTTTAAAGATTATTTTAATCCTTTTTAAACAATCATTGTTATCATGGAAATACACATTATAATCAATTTATTATAATATATATACACCATATATTGTATTGTTGACAAAGCAACACTATCAACTGAACTACGCTCAGAATCGTTTTTTCGTTAGCAATGGTTTATCATTACTTACAGATATACATTAAATTCCCGTCTGTACCCTACCTTCCCAGCTTCCCACCTACAACAGTGACTGAACCCAAGTGTGAAGTTTGTCCGTCCTTTTTTAATCTTTCAATCTTTTTTAACCTAAATACCGATATTTTCCTCATTATGTCGAATATTAATAATAATTTCAAAAAATGGCCTCTCTAATGTACCACCCAGAGAAAATTTCCTTTCAAAAAAGATGCTATTCTTGATAATCAGAGTATGTATTCTGGTAGAAAAAGTTTTTATATACAAAAAAAAAATAATAAATAAACATTATTGTAAAACCAATACATTCCTCGTTCCACTCAAAATCTAAAACAATCAATAAAAACCCATACAACAAAATCTAACATTCTTTTTTTTCGTTTTATTTAAAAATTCTTTTCGGAAAATATTATTTATTTTATCCATGTAATGCGGCACAGATCAGTCTGATATAAAATAATAATTTAATGCGTTATTTTAGGTATTCAATACGAAGATATTTCATTACGGCACAAAATAGATAAAATATTCATGGTACAAGTAAACACCTAAACCCTCAATCAATGTTCAATAGACACTGATAAATAGTGTCATGCCTAGCGAAATGGACATCCGTGCCAGAAAAATTTACCTAGGGGCAAAAATAAAGAAAGTTAAACTTGTCCGCGAAGTGTTCACTTATACGCGTATTGTAAAAACATTCAGTTACCAATTCTCAATGTCCACCGCAATGTCCACGGACTTAACCCACCCATTTTATCAGATCTAGCTTAAAAACATGCCAAAAAATAGAAAATAGTTAGCTAATAATAGACATTTAGTTCTTTAGTATTTTAAATTATGATAATTATGATTACGGTATACTTGTAAACATTTGCATGATTTATTAATCAATTTTTTTTCATAATTGTTTTTTCCGAAAAACAATGATTCATCATTGCTTTCACATTTAATACTACTAGCCACCAGTCAATCATAATCAGTAGCAACGGGTTGTTGCAGACATCATGTTGATATCAGTATTTTCTTATTTACTCTCTAATACCTAATTGTGCGTAGTATAATATTTATGTATATTCAATATTGAATAAATTAATATATTCAGGAAGTATGCACATAAAAAAAATTATATTTATTTTACCTTATTTTATTATACAAGAATACAAATACAATTTAAAGTAAATATATGTATTTTGATAAGTACCTACATAACTATGTGAGGACTGAGGACATGGCACTGTACATAACGATATTAAAATTAAGAACGTGTTTAAAAATAAAAAATAATTTTTGAAATTAATCGTTTGTATCTATATAAAAAAATAAAAGAGAATTAACATTAGTATTTCTATATTCTTGCTTTTAGATTCTGAATGGAGTAAAGAAGCTAATGGTTTTAGAATGATGCTTATTTTTTAATTTTTTTTTCTATGGACTTTTCCACCGGCAATTTTTCTCCGATTTACAATGGTAGCACTTTTTCTGATAAGAAATCTGATTTGGATGGTACTTTAGAAGGGTCATTTTTAATTTCCTGAATATTTGGTAGCGTTATATTTTCAGATTTGATGAATACTTATTCACTAATATTTTATTTGGATAATTTTCATAATGTGTTTTTAAAATATAAGTTTAAAAAGAATATTATAAAATTCAAAAAAATATTATTGATTGCTAATTTACATCCAACTCAGATTAAGGCATGACATGCAAGTTATTGAAAAGACAATTCTCAAGATGTATTGGTCTTTCTAGGCATTTCAACAAGTGCTTCTGCAATTTTTTATTATCTACCTCGGTATGCGGCTACCAAGGTTACTCATAATTGTTATGTCGAATTGCCAGCAATGATTTTAAAATATTATCTCATAATGTTCGGCATTCAGAAATAATTTCAAGTGGATTCATTAAAGATAAAAAGGTTCCTACTTATACTTGGTTAATATACATATAAATTTACAAATATTATTGATATTGTTTCTTCAACCAGTGATGCAGTGCGAAATTATAGCGAGCGACTATTATTACGTCAGCTACACAAACATTGTAAAATATAATAATTGATATAATGATATAATTTGTTTTATATAGAGATTTTAGAAATATCACACTACACACATTAAGTAGGTAGTAAGTTATATATTTTTTCAAAGGTGAATTAAATTATATTTTACGTGATCAATGTTTATGTTTTAGATTTTGAGCGCAGATAGGAATGTGTTTTTTACTGGGATTTTTTTTTTTTGGTGTTTGTGGACTCCGATCCGATCATCAACTATAACATTTTTCTAATTATAAACTTTAAGTCATTGGTGCATTGGGTATTTCATTTAGAACTTTCAACTTATTCCCGTTCCTCGTTCCTTTAAACGTTTTACAACTACTGATTTGGTGACCAACCAACCTAATATTTACTTGGGTACCAATCGTTAGTTTACGAATAGGTAATAATATTGCTAATCAGCTAAATTAAATATTTTAATATAGCGTTCGTGAAATGAGAAAAGATAAATTGTCGGCCAGTATTCGCAATATTTTCCAAAAACGGAAAAAACTGCCCCTTCCTAACCCTCTCTTAACACTTTGTTCGCGCGTCGTATTATTGTTACATAATTAATAGGTATCTTTTTTTTTTACGATTGTTATTATTATACTAGTCGTGGGTTACTGGGTTTCGATTTTCGATAAACTGTTATCAGTATGATAACGATTATCAAGATTGTGCGAAATGTTTTAGGTAACGACGTGTCTCGCGCGCTGTGAAGTGTGTTACTAATTATTATTTTGCAACCGAATGTTCCCGAAGTATTATTAGTATTAAATATGTTTTTGGTGTTTCGTTAGTGCGTCAGAATAATTTCACAACATCACTTAACTATGGTATTCGCTAAATGGAACAGCCCAGCACTTCCAATAAAAGCTATGAGCTGCTAGATATGTCCGAATCCGATAGCAGTTCGTCTACACACGTACCGCCGTTGATATTGACTTCGCCGAGAAAGAAAAGATACAGGAAGTACGGTACTGTTCACGACACGATATTTTCATCAAGTCGTTTTGTTTTCTTACATATTTTATTAATTGGTTGTTTTTTTTTCACTAGGTTCGGCAGCAGTCGAGATAAATTTGTGGAAAAAGTTACATTTGAGAAATGTCATCTCCAAACTCGTACGGTTTGCTTGTTTTTCATCCTGTCCGTTCTCATTGTCTGGCTGGTGACAATGAGTTGGTTCATCAATGCGCTACAAAACGAATTAGACAAGTTCAACCATACCATTATTACAAGTAATACTATAAAAGCCAAGTAGAATAATTGTTATGACATGATTTTGTTAGGTACCTCTATCATACCATCTGTATTGCTATAACCTACCATTAGAAACATAATATTGTGAATGTTGTTTTGAAAAAAGTATTTTATTTGGAACTTGTATATGATGAAATCATACAAATGGGTATACCTACTAATATATTTCTTTAAGTGGATACCTATGCACAAATTAATAAAGGTTGTGTATTTCAAATAAGGTTTTCAATATAGTCAAAAAGGGTAATTGGTATCTAAATTGGATGAAAATATTTACAAAATTATTGTAATTAAAAGATATGCAATAATTGCAATAATTTATAATTATACAATAAAGCAATAAAGTATTAATTGGAAATTTAAAAAAAATAAATAAGAAATAAGAGATTATTTTTAATCATTAGAATATTAAATTGCTTAAATTAAAATTTGACATTGAAATGGTACAAAAACCCTGAATTGAAGATAGTATTAAAATATCTAAACATTTTTGATTTGTAAACAATTTTATTTATTTAATAATAAAATGTTTATTTAATAGTACTCCCTATCATAATGTCATAACCTTGTACAAACAGTAATTAAACAATGCAATTTAAAACTAACTATATTTTATATTTTTAAAACTTACATAATGTCTGTATAACTTGAGGTATAATGCATTTCTAATGTGGGATTTCATTATAATTTTAATACCAATTCCTACATGAATTTATTTTAGTCATTATTCACAGATAAAAAATTATTAAATAGGTGTTACAATAACATTTGTTGTCTCTGTCTGTCCAACAGGTAATATAACAAAAATTATTTTTTCTTCCAATAGATAGAACTCATAATCTAGTAAACCCAAAACAAAAAATTGTTCACCTAATTATATTCTACATTTAATATGTTTTCATAGAGGGATTTTTTTGAAATATATTTCCTAGATAATAAATGCATAGTTAAAACTTAAAAAAATAATATTTTTTTTTATCTTATTACAAAATTACATTTAAAATATCTAAAAAAAAATCCCTCTTTGAAAACATAGTAAATGTTTTAAATTTTATTCTGGTGAAATAATTTTTTATTTAGGTCTATTATTACTATTAGAAGTATGAAAAACCTCATTTTTTCATGATAGACAGTAATGATAGCAAATGTTACGCTCCTCTTAAGTAGATACTATACTTTAAATTATACAACTGATAAATATTAAATAATTAAGTCTTAAATATTTAAAAATAAAAATGTTTTATTCAATAAATCTAAAATAAGTCTACTAATATTTTGTAGATATTTCACAAACTAATAAATACATTTTTATTGTAAAAATAATTTAAAATCATTAGTAATGAAAATTATCTCTGTCTTATCCAGCTATTTAATATTTATGTGTATTCTTTTGTTATTGAATCTTAATTCTATTATTTGTCTAATATAGTATTTTTATAATACTTTATAGCAAACAAATTTAAAAATTGTTAATACCTAATAAACTAATTAAATACTTGTTTATGATTTCCCAGTCTTAAAAACTCATGACAGCAAATTTTCAGCAAGTACAATTTTGTACTTTTAGTTTTAATATTAGAGTGAATTGACCTATTATCAAACTTAAAACTAAGAACATTATCTGTGTTTATGCATCAGTTTTAAAAAAATAAAAATTCTCAGGTGTATAGTTTTACTAGTAGCAATCAAATTAAACATTTTCTCAAATAGATAACTTCAATGATTTTTAAATGTTATTTATAAATTAAATATATTATTTTTCACCTTAAATATACAATATGTTTTGATAAATTAAATTTGATAGTTATATTAAGTTTGACGATTAATTGAATGACACAAATAATATTTATATAATATGACCTTAACAATAGATCAATAGAATTATTTACAATTTAAAAGAGAAAAAGGTATTGTAGGTCAATAATTAACAGTGGACACATAATTAGGTTATTATTATTTAATAATATTCAACAATGGCGAATATTGTCTGTCAAACAGTTGACAGCCTCCCGCTTTCTTTTGCATAGTGGTTTCATAATATTTTGTACTAACACAACCTATCTCTTATTAGTTAAGTATTGCATAACAGAATATTAAAATGCATTGACTCAATAATTCAATACGTAAGGTTTATTATTTTTCAATATATTTTCGTATAAACAATTTTTGTTTGTTCTTTTAATTTGTTGGTTATTTAATACACGGTCATTCAAAGTTTACGTAATTTCTATTTATTTTTGTATGTACATTTTCAATGACCTATATAATATTAGAAATGTTTACAAATGAAACTTCTGTAATATTACTATTGTCTATGAATACTTGTTATACTCGTATCTATAATACTACTATAAAATATAAAACTACCACTGTGAAATAATTCACAGATTCTAATTACTATTTAATGTAATTTTTAATAAAATGCCTTTGTATAAAATTACAATAATATTTAATTTTATAATTAATTAAATATTATCAGAAATAAATAGTTGAATTACACATTTTGAAATATGTACAGGCCAATAAAATATAATATTATCACACAGGAATTTTGCTTCGGAACATGATATTATTGTAAATGCATGATCTATTATTAAAACTTATAAATTTTATGCATTAAAATTAGATACAAATATCAAACACAATTAATATATAATCACAGCACATTGTTATTATGTTAAATTTCAACGGCAAGATATTAAATGATTATGTTTAATTTTGTAATTTTTACTGGTTTTTTTTTTCATGTATTTTTGAATCATTATACTTCATAGGCAACATCAAGTTTTGGGGTTTTTTCCCTGTCTATAAACACATTTTTTATCAGAAGACTTTCTCTGAGTGTTGTATGCCGCCATAAAATCAAAAAAAAACCAATTTTATTTTTATTTTCGAAACTGCCTTCTATATAGTGTTGACAAAGGTTTAAGATTTGGCCAATGTACATTTTCTCAGGTCTGAAACCGGCTTGTTCTAAAATTATTTGTTTGTCTATTTGCGTTTTTATACGGTTTAGGTACATTTTTTCTTAAAGTTTGTAGGTATGACATAATAAGGATATTGGTCTATACATTTTCGGATTGCTTAAGTCTGCCCGGTTTACAGGAATTGCCACCACTTAAGCATTTTGTTACATTTTCGGTACGGATTTATTTTGTAGGTAAACATTTAATAGTTTGAAAAGCCAGTTTCTATAGTTTTGATCCTGAAATATTTTATTTGTTCTATAGTGATTTTGTCATATCCTGCTACTTACCCGTTCTTCATTTCTTGATCTTCCTTTTTTACTTAAGTATAATTGTTTTCCCATGACTGAGTAGCTCTGAAGCTATCTAATTTGTAATTTGGGTTCAAGTTTCTGAATTTCTTTATCTATAGCCAACTCATATTGTTCCCAATCAGCTTTTCTGTCATTGAATTTTCTTTTGAATTGTACTGTTTAATGGTGACAAGTGTTTACAGTATTGTATCATGAAAACGGTGTAGTATTTACCTATATATCGGTGGCTAAACTAAAATATGTTGTATATTTAAAAAAGAAAAAATCTACTTACCACATAAATAAAAACACACACAACTTTAAAAAATTGTTTACAATATTTTTTCTATTTCCTACGGATTGAAATCCATCGATGTCCGTACATTTTCAAGAAATTCTTAAAAATACCCTAACAGAATTAAGGTCTTCGACATCAGGTTGTAGACTATCCCGATAGGAACGCCGAATATAATCGGAAACTGCCTATTATGGTTGTAGGCCAGGACGGTTAATATGCGGACGGATGTATCCGAATTGGTCGTACTCCATATGCCGAATCAATTCCCGTTTAATACTTACATTTTATAATAAACAGAATCAATGTAGGTATAATGTACTTAGTATATTTTTAAACTTTCATCATACTACGGCGCGGCGGGTATTTTACAGTTATAAGAGTAATAAAATAATATTATATCGGTGTATTGCCAAAATTCCGCAATCGATTAAAATAACGTCAATCCATCTGGATATACGTATCTATTTGGTTATAATGTATACCGAATATAAAATTATGGTAAATTATGTAACTCTTATAACTTCCGAGCCCTAGTTATTAAATAGGTACATGGTACCTATTATTTTTCATTGTTAAAATATTAAATACAAAAATAGTGAACAAAGTGCAAAAATTTAGGTGATCTTATTATAGTAGTATTCAAACCGTGACCCCTATATTGTTTCAACTTTTTAGAGCTTTAGGTGTCTTCAGTTGGTAACATTTTAGATTCTGAGCACAGCGAGGAATGTACCCATTGGCTTCAATATGATGTTTTTTTTTTTCTATTAACAACTTTTCTACTTAAAATATTGCTTCGATTTTCACGTGTAATATCTTTTCTAAAATCAAATTTCATCTCATTGATGAATTAGGTGGTCATATATTGATTTGCCTTGTATTTTAGATTCCGAGCGTAGCAAGGGAGCTGTTGATTTTGCAATGCTGTTTATTTTTTTTATTTTTTTATTTTTTTGTTCTAGTCTGTGGACACGTTTTTTCTTAGTAAACTTGATCAGATTTTTACGTGTAGCAACTTTCTTGAAAGCTCAAGTTGTTTAAATTGTATTTTAAGTTTATTTTTTGATTTTCAACGCCATTTTTTAAATAAAAGCACTTAAGTGAAGAAAAACATAGGAAAACTTACAATTTCACGATTTAATTATATTATAAAAAACAGACGACGTTTTCTACCAAAAAAAATGATTTAATCGAAAAATCACAAGATACATTTTTTGTTGCCTTTTTGATTCAATATCTTACGGTATCATCACCAAAACTTTTGAGCCAATTTTGAGCTTATAAGAAATTGTAATTTTTAGGAATTTTTTTACTGTAATAAAGTTATAAATACACGTAGAAACTTGAAACTTGGTAATAATACTTATATTGAATTTACCTAAACGTAGTAAAATTTCCAAGATCATCGGACAACTTTTTTTTTTATTAATCGTTTTAAAATCAAATTTAAACGAAAATCGCAAAAAAAATTACGGCACTTCAAATTATTTATTATCGAACTACCCTCGGAATCGTCTTTCGTCAGCATTTGTTTATTATTGCTATAAATATAAATTAAATAACCTTATGTATCCTACCTTTTCAACTTCCCACCTACAACAGTGGCTGTACCCGTCCCCAGTGTTAGCTTTCTTTTTTTTTTAATAATCGGGAGAAAAACTTAAAGAAAAACCTGTCAATTTACGGTAATAACGATTTCATTATTTTCGATTTTGATTTTCTAGCCAAAATCTTTCTCCTAATTGGGGTATCCTACATGTTGAATTTTATTGATTTGGACAATTGGTAGTATCACAAAAATGCAGGTACATTATTAGGCATTTATCGGCGTATATTCGAAGTCCGTGACTAGATTTTGATTAAATTTGTATGAGGCCTTGGAAGTAAACACTTTTAAATATATATAAAAAAAAACATCGAAATTGATGCATATTATGACGGAGTAATGTACGTAAACTTTCTAATTTTTTTTTGAATTATGTTAAAAATTTCACGCGCCGTCCTTATCGGTGGATGGGTGAAAATTAGTTTCTCAGTCACTGTAGCAGTTCGGCCGTCGTTTCCGCACAACTGTTGACGATGTTGTTCAGGGAAACGTCCGCTTCTGGACGGGGGCGTGGGCGTAAAACTATTGATCGGTCGCACTCGCGCGTCGGCGTGTGCGACTCCTCTCGACAACGACGACACTACTATACTAATATATATAACTGTAGTCGTTTTTGGATGCCGGCGACGGCGTTGTTCGCATCACTCGTTCGGCTGTTCATATTGTAGCCGCCCGTTCGCGTGTAACGCAAAACATTCCTACACTAATCTCGTGTCAGAGTGAAAATCCTCCGGAGATAATGGCTCGTCCGGTCGTTCGTGGCGGCGACGGCTGCGGCGACGGCGTTTCGTTGCCGTAAGACCGATGTACGGCTCGCGCTGCAGCTTAACTCGATGAGCAGTGACGTGAGTAGGAGATCGTCAGCCGGCGTCGTCGTCGGTGGTGGTGCGGTAGGCGGTGGTGCAGGTGGTAAGAAAATGCGCAAGCGAAAGGAACTGGACGCGTTGACTGGCGTCAGCTCCGGTGGTGGAGGGGGTGGAGGCGGCACCACCGTGGTCGGCGTTAACCGCCGGAACCGCCGGCGCCTGATGTGCTCGTCCGACTCGGACTCTTGTTCGTCGTCCCGGGCTCCCACGCCGGTAAAGCTCCGCCGGCAGATTACCCGCCGTCGGAAGCGGCCGTTCGTTTCGGCAGACAACTGGTGCAATGCCCTACGAATGTTCCTGGTATTCGGTTGCGCCGTGTGGATCGTGTTTGAGACGTACACGTTCCTTGACATCCGAAAAATACAATTGCACCTGCAGACGCAGCTCGATGAAGGTGGGCCCCATTCCCGGTTAGTCGCATTATTGCGGGGAACACCCTTCGAGACCATCGACACGTCCTACCTATCCGAATCTAACCAGTCGGGCGAATATGGACTTCTTTCGAATGACGAACGAATCGTTAAAACAGTGTTTTCTTGATTTTTATCGCAACTGGTAGGGTGGGATGTAGAGGGTTGAAGTTCTTCTTGGATGGTAAAATTGAGTCGGATGTGTTGTGGTACTTTCAATTTGTATTTAGTCGTGGGTATTCCGATGCGATTTTTTAAACTCGCAAACGTGTTAAATAAGTTGTGTTAACCAAACCAAACAAATCTAGTTGGGATCACCTATATCATCATATTACATTTGTAATCTCAAAGAAGGGCTTAATTCAATTTTGCATAGTTTTCAGTACAAGTCAATTAAATTTTTAAAATGCATATACACTTATATGCAGTTTAGACTCAATAATAAAGTTAAAAAAAATACATAAAAAAAAAATTCCAAAAATTGACTCAAGCTCTTCTTCTTGGGACAAAGATTTATTACTGTTATAACATATATGCACAGCTAACGTTTTAATATTTGTTTTAATTATATCGTTCATTTTCAGTCGCTGCGGGCAATCGTGGTGTTCCCGACGATTTGCAGAAATGTCATGCCATGTCCAAACAGCTTCAACAAAATCAAACGGAAATCAATCAACGTCTCACCGTGTACGACGGACGGATTGCAAACTTAACGATACAAGTGAGTCTCTTCATTGCTTGTAGTACAGTGTTTACCAACCTATGGTTCGTAACCCAATATTGGGTCGCGACGAAAGAAAAATATTTTGCTTATAATATAATAAAATAGAAAAAATAAAAAATAAATTAGTGAGGATAATAAAGAAATAAACAAACGTGAAAAACTTAAAATGTACGAAATATAGGTATTATTTACAAAATATTACGGCATACTTTTTTCCTGTGAACAACATACCTCTACCATCAATTTTGCTCCAATTTACAATGATAGCCCTTTTTTAAAACAAAAAATCCGACTGGGAAGGTACTTTAAGGAGGTCGATTTTAGATTTCTATAAAATTTTTCCAAACAATTGTGATAAACTGAGAAAAAACGAAAAAATCGGTACAATAATAAACAAATATTATTAAAGAAAACATATAATACCTATTTAATTATTTTACCATAATATGGCATACATAGTGTTGACAAAGCATGACTATCAACTGAACTCCACTTAGAATCGTTTTTTTTTGTTACCAATGGTTTACCGTTGCTTATAGATATACATTAAATCCCCATTTGTAGCCTACCTTCCCAACTTCCTACCTTCACTAGAGTAGAGTGCAGTACTCTAAAGGTTTTTTAAAACCACGTAATAATAATCAGTAGAAGTAGGTAGATATAGTAATTTTTTATTTAAATTGTGAGCGTAACAAGCAGTGTATTCGTTTTACCTCTTTATCCACGTTTAAGATTTGGTTAGAGGAGAGTAGTGGAGTATCATTTGTGTGGTGGTACGACACGCTGCGTGTTAATAATGCACCACTATTCTTCTCTTCAACCTAAACTTAAAAGTGGAATATCTCATCAACGGCTGGATAGAATTAAAAATGTCAACACTCAAATTTATTTTAATTAATACTCCAACCTATAGTTGGAGTATTAGTTGCACACTCATCGTGCGAAGTATGTCCATCTTTTTATTGTTGTTGTTAAATAAAAAAAAAATGTTATGTTGGACTCATTATTACAGGTTACTGATTTGAATACAAGACTGTTATCAGTCGAGAAGAAAATAAATGATAACACAGACCTAATATCAAATCCTGACGCAAAAAAAGATCCATCTGTAAAAGTCTTATCGTCAGAAGTGGCCAAACTTGGCAGCAATTACAAAGACTTGAGTGACAGTGTCAAATCACTCAAAGATATTGCAAGTTCGTTACAGTCGTATCAAACGATATTAAGAGCAAACATTACTTCTATCAGTGTAGGTTTATAGAAAAAATGTTTGCCTTGTAATTAATGGAAACTTATTCATACAATTATTTTTTTAAACAGGAAAAATTGAATAATGTTGGTAGTGTCAAGACTGACGAGACCATGATCAATAATGTGTCAGAAAAATTACATGAATTGATTGAAAACACAGCTTCCAATGTGACTTCAATAAATCGAACGCTTACAAGCCGAATTGATTGGTTATCTGGTGATCAAAAAACCAATCGGGTACTGTTAAATAAATATTTTCAAAGTATAATCAATTTTCAGTGGTGATATAAACTTCTTATTTCAATGACATAGTAAAATAGTTCATCATTCACCCATTTCCTAATTTTTTATATCATCATAAAATGTAAAAAAAAAAAGTAAGATATTAAATTCAGATCTAGATAAATAGTAATTTATTCATAACAAAATAAAACCTGAGTAAACTTCAGTCAGTATTAAAAAGTTTAACATTAAAATAAAACAATTTTCTATCCCTATTTATACCGTCACTGTCTATTTGTTACTTATGATTTACTTTATGTTTTTTTTTTATTGTTTATTTAAAAATATCTATTAATTATTCACAGGGAGAAATAGAAAAATTGAAAGAGAATAGTCAGAAATTAATCGCTCAAGTAAAAACAATTGAGAACGTGTGTCAAACAACAGACACTAAATTTACAAAATCGTTTAATGAAATTGACTCGAAAGTATTATTTTAATAATTATTGAAACTTCAATCTTTTAATAACAAATAAATTCATTCATTTCAGATCATTTCTCTAAGAACTCAAATTGACAAAATTGCAACCAATGTTACCAGTTTACATGCTCAATCAAATTCCAATGATTCTCTTACAGGTTCGAGTCAATTAAAAGGTAATGCTTATAATAATTTTCTTACTATAAAAATATTGCTGGGTTCTAAAATGTATGATGACACTTTTAGCGAACAGTTTATTTAAACAAAATACTAAAACTATTTAATAATTGACACTAGTACATTATTTCTTTTATAAAAATGTAATTTCAATAGAATAATATTGAAAGATATATTAATATTTTACAATTAAGAAGGCGTTTTACCTGCATTTGCTGTTTCTGTCCAACTAATGGGTAATATAGCAAAATCTACCTTACTGACTGTGAAACTTGCTTAATTTTGATTTTAGGTTAAAAGGACCTTATATAAAATTAAAAGAGGACATTATTCTGAAAGGCAAGACTGTTTCTCTTTTTAAAATGTTTTGAAATGTCACAGTTATTTAAAGATGAATTGGGTTTTATTTCTAAAAGATTTGAATATATCATTTATATATCGTTATATTCAGAATAATAAAAAAAAACATACTGTCTTGTCCTCCACAATTATTATCCTCTTTTAATATTATCTTTAATTTGTATTATATTATAATTTTAATCTTTTAATCTTAAATGATTTTACTCTAAAATTAAAACTAAGCAAGTTGAACACAGTCTGCATTAGGTAGATTTTACTATATTGCCCGTTAATTGGACTGAGACAGCACAAGTACATATGACATCCTCTTAAGACACTTAGATTGAATAAAATATAACCAAAGAGAAGACATTGGAGTTCTATTGACACACTTCTCCCTCTCTAAAGTGGATAAATGACTAATAGTAATAATAAAACAGAAGTATTTGTAAAAATAACACAATAGTTTAGTTTGTTATACTATAATTGTATATCTACTCTAATACTCATAAAACAAAATTTGTATAAAATGTGAAATATGTTTTGTTTTAACGTATAGTAGAATATATTGTATAGTGTCATTAAAAAAAAAAAAAACAGGAGCACTCAACTCAAAAGGAAAAAATTGATTCTCATGACCTAATTCATAAGTATGCAACTGATTTTTTCTTATCTCGTCCACAAAAATGCTTACGATTAAAATCAATTGAAGTTCATTAAATGTTCTCCAGTTTTGCAAGTTCAAAACCATCTGACAATTTTTATTACTACTGTAGCAGTAATATTTTCAATGGTATCTTACAAAAGAAGATGTTCTGACTCAATACATCTCAACAGACCAATGGGCACTTTATTTGTAGCTTATTTACACACGTAATTTAATTTCTTTTTTTTTTATTGTCAATACATTGTAGCAGTAATCAAAATGACATTTTATGGAAGATTTGTAAAAAAACAAAAAAAAAATATGTATCAACATGTTAAATAATTAATATATAGTGAAAAGTTAATTTAGTTGATCTCCACTCTAACAACAAAATCGGTTTTTTATGTATCAAATTGTCAAATGATCCCAATAAGTGACAACTACTGTACTTGAAAATGTGATAAACTACTTATTATTTTAAAATATCATCTGTGTTCAATATTTTATTAATTATCCTTTTCAACAATAAATAAATCAGTTGATTTCAAATTAATTATTTTAAGTCACTAAATAAAACTATTTTAAATTCAACCATCAATATCGAATATAGTACCTTGTTATTATTTATTTTTTTTTACATTTCTATTGTTAGTTTTATTTGTATCAAAATTTCATAGAAATTATTGTATGTGTAATTATTTTTTGTTTTTCATTTGTTTTAGGTGAGAAAAATGGAACTCAGACAAAACCTTAATAATAAAAAAAAATATATGTTCTTTATATTTTAATGTATGTGCACAATGTTGAATAATTGTATTTGTTTTTTATTTTTTAATTCCCTAAAATAATAGATTTAATTGTTAATGTTATATATTAATTAAAATGAACATTGTTATTTTGGTTAAAAAAAAAAAAAAAAAAGAGAGAAGCAAAAAAAATAATTTTATAAATTATTTAACTTACCAATTAAAATTAATTACTTGATATTTGATAGTAAAATTGTATAATTCCTATTAAATATTAAAATCAAATTATGTATATGAATAATTTTTACTGAGATTGTCGTGTTTAAATTAGATGAGAAATTTGAGCATTTGTGAGCAATAATCTTTTTTACACTATTCGTGTTTTAACCTTTTGTTTCTAGTTAAAGTATAAAATATTATTACAAGTAAATCATATAAATTATTTTTCTACGTTTATTGAAATTAATTTGGTTTAAATTTATTTACATATGCATTGTTTTTAATATATTTCACCAGACAATTCAGTTCATTTTTACATACATATATTAATAAATTGCGTGAAATTATTGTACTACTTTATTTTTTTCATGACAACCATAACTTAATTAAAATATATTGCTTATTGTTCAAATTGTTTTTTTTTTTTTCAATTCATAACAAAAAATTAAATATACTAATATTTGTAAATAGTTAAAATTTGAAATATATTTAGTAATTATCTATTATTTATAAAATCCAAATAAAACCTACAATAGGTACTAAAATTGCCACTAAATAAGAGTTTAGTGTAAAGTTAGGAGTCCAATGTCAGGGGACTGTTTTAAAAAAAAATTAGTATCGAGTCGTGTAACTTGAATTGCCTATACTACAGGAATTAAAGTAAAATAATATTGTTAACGTTATAAGTAGGGCCCGGAATTATATTCATTTACGGGATTGGTGACCTCTATTTAAGGTGTTAAATTTAGGCAATATATTATGCACATGCATTCGTAGTTTGCGTCTGTGTGCGGAGTAAGTGATTATTAGTGTGAGTGTGAATCCGTTTACCTACCCACCACCTATCGCTCCACTATAACGGGACCGATTTTGTCGCTTGTCACGTCGTTATCGTACGTTACACCGTCGCGTCGGTCGCCACCGTCACTGTTATTTTTTTCATAATATTAACATTCGGCGCCAGCGAGAGGATGTGGCTGAGAGGACTAGAGTCCCGGGGGCCGTACTTCCGAGAGGGCCCGTGACAAATTTTGTACAAAATTAATTAATTAAAACTATTTTCCAATCAAAGTAAAAGATATTTAGACCTAAAAGCCAAACAAAACCGTAGGACTTGTAGTTGACGGATTTTAATTTTGAAAAAAGATTATGATTCCGTATGTTTTTTTTCATTTTAATTCTAATTATCATAAATAAGAGACAAAATACTTTATGTACATTTTCAATAATACAATTATTTTATTTTACGATTTCCAGTAAAATAATTAAATTTCTATTTCCAACATATCCTAGTAAAGAACCTAAAGATTCATTATCCGGTTTCAAAACTGAAATCCGTCAACCACAAGTCCTACAGTTTCGTTTGGCTTTTAGATCTAAATCGACTAAAATATATATCAATCGCCTCAAAAACGTACGAAATATGCATGCAATTATGCACTGACCATTAAAATATGCGAAAAAATGCATGTGAATTAAATTTATTCAGTTTAAAAATCATTATATTATTTATGAAATAATTAATATGGAACTCTTGTGAGCATGTTGAAAAAACGGAGCAAATACGGGAAAATAACGAAATGTAGGAACTAATTGAAAAATATTACGGCTTTTTTTACTTGTAAGTAACTTTTATACCATCAAATTTGTTCCGATTTACAATAGCTTTGTTCGTTTTAAAAACTCGGCGTGAACAATATAGTGTACAAGTGTTCGGTGTGGTGTGTGGGTAGTGATGGGCACTACCGACTGAAAACTATCGAACTACTCGATAGTTTCAAACTATCTATTTACTCGGTTGTTTTTAAAAAGTATTAACTATCGACACTATATATTCAGTTGAAAAAGTACTCGGTTGTTTTGTAAACCAGTTGGCGCCAATACTACTGATAGAAAATGGTCGGACTATCGACTAATTCATTCGATAGTTTTCAAAACAATCGGTAGTCAAAACTAGTCGGTTCCGCCCATCACTAGTGTGTAGTGTGCCAATTCATAACAAACGTTTCAGGTGTGGAAAGTGGAAAAGTCAGCCGATTGTCTTCATCTAAAACACTTCTATTATTGTTACGGCATACTGAACCGGTAAATACTTTCGTTTTTATTGTAATCTTTCAATCGGAAATGTCAAGTAAATTATTTTTTTTTATAGTAGCTAGTAGGTAAATGAAGTATACGAATGTTTGGAAATCGCATAATGTAGTTAGTAATTTAATCTTTTAATGATTAAAAGATAAATTATTAAGATTAAAATTTAATCTCGTCATGCATGTCGACTGTCGATAGCCGTATAGTGATAAGTAATTATATAATGATAATCTAGCACCACAACAAAAATCTGACTCCACAGCCTATTCATTTGATAATGTCAACAGTGAATACACTAAAACCAACACTTTTTAAAAACAAACAACGTGTACCGCGACACATTTTCAAAATAAACGCTTTGGTGTATAGTGTACACTATTGGTTAAAACGAACAAGGCTAATGATAGCATTTATTTTTGAAAATAAATCCGCCCGGGGTGGTCCTTTAAGGTCATCTTTTTGATTTTCCCAGCTGTTTTCACAATAAATGGAAATAACCGGAAAAAAACATGAGAAAAACGTAGAATTTACGGGCAAATAGGTACAATCGGTGGTGTATTGGGGGGTATACGGCGTACACCCAATATGCTATTTATCCATGGCGTATAGCTTATGATAAATTGATGATACACGGGTATACGACCGTATCTACCGTATATCCTGTATGGCAATTTTAAATACCTACCAAAGGCGGATTTGAAGGGGGGGGTTGACGTAGCAATCGCTCTTCCCCCCTTGGAATTTTTTTCTCACCTTCACCGGCGGCCTAGTAGTATACATCATACGAATTCCAAATATTTGAAGGCCTGCAGCTAATTTGACGTTTATGAGGTTAAGAAATTAATTTTGAATAAATGTGTATCCAATTGATTTTATCATATTATCTTATCATTTTAAATAATATTGGTAATTTCATTGATTACAAATACTATAGATCGCTCACTGCAGCACATTTACGCGGCGTATTACTTATCAGCCGCCGCTATGAATCGCTGTCATCGCCTACTGCTAACGCAGTAGTAATGTCGGCCGCCGTAGTAGTGCGCTAGTAGCAATGAAGATGGGGGATTAGTCAATAGTTAAATAATTATTTTGGTTTGTAAGCTGTTGAACTGGAGCATAAAATTCGTGCATTTCGATGCTGGATTTCCCAATAATATTATGGTTACCGCACATAGATAATTATAAACTAGGTATTAAACACGTAACGTCAATGTTATTTTCACAAATTAATAATTATATACTTCTGTATAAAGTGTAGGCCACTAGAATAATAAAAGTTAAGACTTGTTTTTGACAGTTGTACCAATAAAAGTCGGAAATGTATGCAAAATGCCTACTATTATTATTATTTTAGATTCCGAGTGGAGCGAAGAAGCTTATTGTTTCACAGAGATGTTTTGTTTTTAGGGAGGTTATTTTTCGATTTTCTCAAGAGTTTTCTCATTAAATGCGAAAAACCGAAAAAAAAAAACGTGAAAATTTACGAAACATAATAAGTATAAATTACGATTTTTTTTCCTGTGAACAACTATACTACCAGCATTTATAATCAATGGTAATGTACTCCACTGTATCCAAATGACATATTTATCACGGTGAAATAAGCATTGGTAATAGTGTACATTGGTAAAATTGGTAACTATCCCATCATGGGTATTCAATATTATCAATATCCCTTACATCATTTACACTGCTAATATTGCAAAAATCAACCATTTCTAATAGACTGGTCGCTTACACTTTTTTTTTTGTCATTGATAAAGCTGATTTCTCTGAACTTTTTAATATCAAAAAGTCAATTTGGCCAAAAGTTTCGCTTATGCACTTTTGCCTATTAAGGCTAGATATTATATAGCTAACTATTAATCATATGCAGCGTACTTTGATGCTTTATATAAATGCATACTATAAGTAAATTTCTTTTTGGCTTACCGCTTTGTTTATTAGATTAAAAACATGGATGAGATCACGCATGGGGAAAAGTAGATTGACCGGCTTGGCATTACTTAACTCACACAGGGATAGAAATGTATTTGTTGAAAAAAATCATAGATAGATTTGCGATTGAAAAAAAAATGATTATTAAAGTTGTGTTTATATTACATATATTATATTGTTTAACTATGTTACGGTTATATAAGTATACGTAATATTTTTTTATTATACCTACTTAAATACGTATATATATACATATATAACGTCTGTTTTCAATTGAATAATATTTGTAATTTATATTTGTAACAAATTATTATGTAGATGTAACTTATTGTTAAAGTATCATGAGTTGGTATGTTAGTAAGTATTTACGTAGAAAGTATACTGAAATTATGTGATACCGGAAATGTACGACCACCACCCTGCCAATTATGGTTATAGATCCCTTGAATTATACATATCATATCGATTTGCCCCCCTGCACCCTTAAATGTTCTTGAGATCCGCCTCTGATACCCATTATATATTTATATAAACTATTGTAAAATACATTTTGAAGAGCACGAATTAAAATAGGCACAGGACGTAACACACAACACGTAGATTTATTTTTATTTCACGAACAATTATTAACATTTAAAAATTAAGGTTTTGTTATCAAGCATTCGTAATCAAATAATCCATAAAGTAAATATGTTATGGGAACTTCAGTCCACCGAATCCCACTATCATTTATCATAATATTTAATACAATAATGTAGTCTTTGTACCTCGTTGAGTGATGAATGATGATAATAATGTGATCTAAGCGTATAGGCATAGCCCATCCATATCTTTAATATATATGAATTAGATTAGTTATTCTCCGGTTCGCGCCGCGGTCACACTGTATACGAACATCGTCGGCGTGGGTGGTTGTGATCGGCGGTGGGCGGTCGTCTACGTTCTCCCCGTACGCGGTGGAGCTCTGACGCGTTGCCATCCAGACNCCGCGTAATGTTCAACAGCTACGTCCGTCCATTCCGGTTGTATTTTTTTCTCTGTGACAGTTCGGGTTCTGTTATACCAGACCAATTATTTTTGTGTCGATAATGACGCGTACGGACGACGTCCCGGCGGTAATTTTGCCGTATTGTCGCTGGCACAACCAACTAGGTAAGTACTATACACGTGTCTCGTGGTTCGGGGTACCTACTCGACCTGGCCGGCGCGCACGTGGTTTTTATTTCGTTACAATAAAATTATGCGTTTACGTTATTGTGCGGACATTTCGTCCGCACAATTTTGCGCGTAATTGTCCGTGGCCCGTCAACGAACGAAGCCCGGCCCCNCGTTACCCGTATTTCGCCGTCGTGTAAGTTTAGCCATGTGGCCCGTCGACGTACGGGCTCTGCTCCTGCCCCGGTCAGTGTAGTCGACGAAATAGCCGTTAAACGACGTACCTATATAATAATATTTGTATTTAAAAAAAAATAATATAGTCTGTGGTATGTACGATCACAAGACCACACAGTAGCATACAATGTATCTAATATTTGTATTAAAAAAAGTGTACGGTAACCATGGTCATATGTGGTTACTAAGTGGTGCTAGAATATCGGCCGGATGTTCTGTCTGCGTAATTCTTATTATGCAGTATTTTATTTAAAAAAAAAAAAAAAAAATGTGAACAATCAAATTACTATGTACCTACATAATATTTGTATTGAAAGAGAAAATGAAATAAAAATCTATCATCGGAAAAGCGACATATTAAAATTATTGATTTAAATAATATGGTATTGGAAAGACTATTCAAATTAAACGGTCCAATCATGGTTATGTAACCGTAACTTTATTGGTACAAGGTTTACGGGGTTGACCACGCTGCTCTTACGGTTGTCCTTTTTGACAACACGTTTGCGTATTATATTTTTGATTTATTTATGATTTCTTTAAAACAAAAGATTGTACTCGAATGCGTATGAATTCTTATGTAACATTGTCAAATTTATATTGTACTTAATAATTATCCAGTAAAATAATTTTATCTGAACTACTATTTATATAAATATATAAACAGTAAAATCCTTCTTAAAAATTTATTTTAAAATACCTAAATTTTAAACATTAGTTAAATTATTTTGATTTTGAATAAAAATAATATTTTGTTATTTTCTTTATTTTCTCGTTATTAATTAATCGTATAACCTATATTGTTTTTTAATATTAAACAGTTCTTACTCATTTTCTTTTGGATTTTATAATTTTAATAGATAGCAAGTTATTACTAAATGTAGATAAAATATATGCATGTGTGACGAACTGAAGGGCAGAAAATATCTTTACTTATATATTTGAAATAACTTAAATAAATTTTAAGTGAAGACCAGTTCTTGACAGGACTTGGTTTGTAATGACATGAAATATTGCAGCCCTAACAGCCTCGCACATTTAAAATATGAAATGTATTTCTCCTCGGTACTACTTTTGTATTTAGCCAAGATACAATATCTGTGTGGTCATCAGAGCAGTTTGATCAGTGTCTTAACATGTTCAGTTGGTATTNTGGGCCAGAATTTGCTTTCTTAGTCACATAAATGAATAAATTAAACACTTGCATTTTTAAATAGCTGAACACCAAGATCCCCAACTACCTCAACAAACCATAATCTTCATTAGACGGATCCAATTTACTTTTGTTCATCGCTATTGGCCGCACCCATATTACCAGTAGTCTCCTGGATGCAAGAAGAATTCTTCAATAACAACCATGAGATGGGCGGAACGTGATCGCGTCGAAGCAAAAGTATTTATTAATAATTATTTTTATTTTGTAAAGCAATAGTTATAAGCTTGGTTTAAGTTTTATAAGTACCGCTTAAATTTCTATGATGATTGCCTAACTAAGACTGTCATTATAATAATTTCCAACGGAGAAAGAGTGTTCTCTCCATCGTTGACTTAGAATTTTTGATCGAAACTGTTCAGTTGAATAACAATTTCTTCAGGTTTTTTCTATGTACTGTCTAAAAAATAAAAAAATAGTTTTTTTTGGGTGTAAAGGTTTTATTAGTCTAACGCTAATAATAGAATAGAATAATACTTAAAGGCTAGATTAATGGTTGAAATCTATGTGCTCTATACAAGCTTGTTTAAGAATGGTCATCATAACTTTAGAAATGATTATGAAGTGTACTTACAAAAATCCCAAATTTTTTCTGGAATCAAATTAAATTTAAGATTATTAATTAATATTGTGTTTATAAATTGAAAAAAAATATCTTCACACTCCCATCCCTTTCGTCGTGATTTGAAGATTGTGTTAAGGATAATTCAAATTGTACTCATTTTTGGAAACTGAGATTATAAGATTGTTAGAATATTAATTTTTTTTTTTTATAAGTATTTATGGAAGATTTTTCTGTTTTTATACATATTTTTGCCAATTTTNTGTTTATTTTTAAAGAAAAATCGTTTGGCCCCTACATTTTTTTTAAAAATTCAATGAAAGCTGCTTAAACATTTAAAAGGAAAAAACAATAACTTGTAATGTGTTAGTGTTTTTATTAGTTGATATTTTAAGTTTGTTTTCACATAACTATTTTATTATTTTAAATACTGCAATATCACTATGATGATATGGTTAGGTCAGGCTAGGAAGTAAACATTTTTTTTAAATTATCCTAAATTATAAATTTTATGATGAATAGACAGGTGGTCAGTATTAATGGCTTAGACAATGTACAACAAGCAACCAATTCAAAGATTGAGCTAAGAAAATAGTTATTAAGATCTTTGATTTTACTGTATCAATGTAATGTATATTATGTTTAAAAAAAATCTGCAGCACATTAAAAACATAAATTAAATAAGTATTGGCATTATAATAATTTGAAAGTATTATGTGTTACTAATATTACGCTTCTTATCGTATTTTCCATCTTTTCTTAAAAAATAATGGTATAGTAACTTGTAACTTAATACTTCCAAATGCTGATTATACTTAATATAATAGGGAACAGAAGTATAATATAGTTAATGACTAATGTAATTTGGATGTGTAAACAAAATTTTGTAATTATAAAGAGTATGATCAAATTTATTAAATTATCCTATGTTAATAAAATAGCACCTATGGTTTTAAAGGTATAACATGAACTTTAGAGACATCCTGTGGTAAAAGCAGCAGATAACAAAGTTAAACATTATACAATTTTAGTAGTGATTGTGTTTAAATGACCAGAAAATTAAATATTGGTAGGTACATATCATCAATTTTCTTTTGGAAATAACATGCCTTATGGCCTTTTTGAAAACTAAAGTGGTTTAACACAAAATATTTATGTTAATTGTACACTAGAAAACTTTTATTAAATATTTATTTAAACTTAATTTTAATAAATTTTGGTTGTTAAGTAAACATATTTTTGTCTATGTTTGGTTTCTGGTGGTCCTCATTTGTGTGTTGGTGATCCTCCTTCATGAGGGTAGCTGGCCAAACGTTGATATCCATTACTACAATATCTAAAACTAATTTAAAGTAAATTTTGTTTGGTAAATAAAAATTTGTTGGCATTTTCTATAATTCGGGTATGTACCTGCAGCAAGTGTAACTTATACCCATACAATTACCTACATATTACATATTACCTTTATTACCCGTTTCTTCCGATATACTGAATGGTACATAGGCATTGGAAAAATATATTAAAAACAATTTTCTATCTAATTATCTAAGGCTCATTTTATACTATCAATACAATTAAATGTATACTTGATTAAATTATTTTGGGTTTTTGAAAATTAAATTTTCAACAGAACATTTAAAAATTTGATTGCTATTCATAAATTTTTTTTTAAAAATATATGACATTTACAATATGTACATAAATAAAACAAATACAATAAGCAAATATGAGAAGGATGGGAAGGGACAATGAGAAGGGAAGCTATCCAGTGACAGGACCCTATTTCATAAATTTATGAAGCTAAAATCTGATGAAAGTTTAATATTTTATTTAACAATTTGAGGTATAGAGTTTTTATTTTAAAATAAAAATGACTATAAGTTAGACAAAGATATTTTTATTTTTTTTTTTTAGTAAAAACATGGTTTGAATTTTTTTTATGTATTATCTGTATATGTATATTTTTGCTCAAACAGTACCTAAATAAATTTAGCATTTCTGTAATGTAGTAGCTAATTTATGTTGCTTTTGGACATTATCAACAATTCATTCTGTTCACCTATTTTGGTTTTTTTTTAGTAATCAATTTTTGACCAAAAGAATTATAATAAGAGTAAAGAAACTTATTAGAATTTTTTTTTATCACTGCCCTTATGTTGATTAATAAAATAGGTAATGTTTTGAAATTCCATTAAACTATATAGTATAAGTTGATTAAATTTTAGCTTTAAAAATGTGTACTTCTATATTGTATCTTATTGTTTTTTTTTTTTTGATATTGTATTGATAAAAGTAATATTGACATAAATTATATTTAATCAATTATTGGTTGTTCCATGACGTAAAATACTTTATGTTGTAACAATAGGTATTATTAAAATAATTAAATAAAATAATATCACTATGAATATAAAAACCCATTAATTTAATATTGTAATGATATAATCACTATAACAATATTAAAAGGTTAACCGCCATGAGATGCGACCTTTCTAATTAGATACAACCTTATTCGTCGATCCTATGATGGTGTCAGTTTGTCGTATCTGTACATTTCTTCATTTTCATCTGAAAATAGTAAAAATAATAGCTAATTTCTTTGGCACACTGGATATACCGACGCTCCCAACAAAGGACATAACTCACTTTTATTATATTTCAGGAGAGCAGTTTAAAGTTTTCTAAATTAAATTCTTATTCTGGATTTCAATTTTTTAATATTTGTAGCTTTTTAGTGTTTAATGGGAAATCACAATTGTTTTTTTTTAGTATCTTTCTATAAATGACCTTGAGTCAAAATTAGGTTATTTTATTTAACTTTCATTGTTCTCAACGGGGAAAAAAAATTAAGTTTATAAAACGTAACTCGACTTATGGTCTTTTTCCACAGGAAAAGAATTAATTCTGAAGAAAGAAAAAAATTAAAAATAATAATATTTTTATTAACCTAACTCTAGTTTTTGTAATACATAATATTCTAAATTCCAATGGGAAATCAATAAAAATAAATCTCTTAGTAATTTTACATGTCATATATCATGTATGTTGTATGTTTTAAATTTTCTCACAAGATCCTTTTTTTTAGCAGTTGGCTTACGTTTGTTTAGTTGTGCTTTTGCTCTATTTAAAACCATAAAACAATAATGTAATTATTTAAAGTTAAAATATTTATATACTTATTGTATAACTTACAATGAGAGGTAAAATATTTGCTAGATTATCATTGGATTGTATCATAGAGTCATTTATTACATTTCTAAGGGATTGTACTCTGGATCTTTAAATCACTATCATAGTCACTAATCACTATCACTATCATGGTACTCTTCAGGATCATCTTCACTATTAGAATTTTCATTAAACTATTTTTGTATGAACAAAATATAAACCAGTGTTATTTTGTGTTAAGTAAAAACTAGTGTTACTACTTACAACACTACTTAAGTTTATTATAGAATATGGCATCAAAATATTTAAATTATTATTTTTTGTTTGGAAATTCAATAAAAACTAATGATAGTTATCATACCTTTTCAGTAGGATTATTAGTTACAATTATATTTTCATCTTCATTACTTGTATTAAAATTAATTTCATATTCAACTTCATCACTACTAATAAGCCCATATTCATAAGTATCCAGAATACTATCTTCATCATCTGATGAAAATATAGTTAAGTCATTGGTATTCAAATTCTATTTAAAATCTAAAATAATAAATTATTTAAGAACTACTTACCATTATGATTATCTGTATAAGAATGTGTTAAGTATTTTATTTCGTTTATAATATTAGGATAACGAATTTTGATGATATAAATTATAATGATTAATTTATTACACTGATATTTTGTTCTCCATTAATAAGGAAAACAAATTTATAATTTATGTTGTTTAATTATGCATATTTTATCGTCGGCATGATAAAAATATCGCTCTTTTTTTTTTTTTTTATTCAAAATAAGGCATCAATTACAGCTATTGTTATCCTAAGGAGGGGGAGAGTTACATATTGTGACGTAATTTATACAAAATTACATTCTTATTCAATAGTATGGTAATAAACAATACCATTATTATTATCTTACGTTTGTAGTGTATTTTACTAATTTTAAAAATCCTAACTAAAGATACGTCTGTGTTCTGCGGTATTTTTTATTTTCAAATATTTTCCGTTGAGTATATAATTGTGTAGTATTGTACATTAATTCCGAACTATGTTTGTATAATCGTCGTGACTTGTATCCCTATTTAGAACGGAAGACTACGAAAATTATCGCATGGGTTATGCAGGCCAGCGGCGTCATCGTCGCCATGGCCGGGTGCGGGGCGAAAGGAGAACGGCGACGACTTTCGGTCGGCGAACCGCCGCCACGAACACACGGTATTATTTAGCCATCAACAATATAACAGACATTTTAACCGGCGCGGCAGCCTGTTTGCCGCAGCCGAACTATACACTTCCCCATCGGTCCGGGCCCGTGGTCACACTGTGCGCACTCGTCGGCGGCATCGGAGGCGGGGACTGGTCGGCGTCTACGCAATCCGCGTTGCCTTCCCGGGCGGACTGCGTTACTTTTGTTCGGGACCGCGGAACGAAATACACGTCTCTACGCCCGTTTGTGTCTGCTGTATTGTTTTTCGCACTGTGTTTCTCTCCAAATTCACCATTTATGAATCGATATACACGCGTACGGACGGCGGCCGGCGGGAATGTTGNTTTGTGCGACCCGCCTCGACGTTTATGTTTCTGTATGTTTCGAAGCGTACGCCATTTTGCCGGTGAAATGTTCGCTCGTCATTACGTTATTGTGCGGACATTTTGTCCGCACAATTTTTCCGCGTAATTGTCCGTGGCCCGTCAACGAACGAAGCCCGGCCCCTCCCCCGGTCGGTTACCCTGAAGCGGTACTGCGAAACCGGCGTGAGGTTGCTGTCCATGATTTACCCATACGATATTTTATTCGTACGTGTACGATATCATAGTCGTTCTCGTCATTCGATACCTTTCCGTAATGGATGATGGTGTAAATCTGATCGAATAGCTGAAAATGGCATTTATTCCGGCCGGTGCACGTGGTTTTTTTTCGTCACAATTAAATTGTGCGTTTGTGCGACCCGCCTCGACGTTTACGTTTCCGTATGTTTCGAAGCGTACGTCATTTTGCCGGTGGAATGTTCGTGCGTAATTGTCCGTGGCCCGTCAACGAACGAAGCCCGGCCCCTCCCCCGGTCGGTAACCCAGAAGCGGTACTGCGAAACCGGCGTGAGGTTGCAGTCCATGAATTACCCATACGATATTTTATTCGTACGTGTACGATATCATAGTCGTGCTCGTCATTATTCGAGACCTTTGCGTAATGAATGATGGTGTAAATCTGATCGAATAGCAGAAAATGGCATTTATTCCGGCCGGTGCACGTGGTTTTTTTTCGTCACAATTAAATTGTGCGTTTGTGNGCGTGAGGTTGCTGTCCATGATTTACCCATACGATATTTTATTCGTACGTGTACGATATCATAGTCGTTCTCGTCATTCGATACCTTTCCGTAATGGATGATGGTGTAAATCAGATCGAATAGCTGAAAATGGCATTTATTCCGGCCGGTGCACGTGGTTTTTTTTCGTTACAATTAAATTGTGCGTTTGTGCGACCCGCCTCGACGTTTACGTTTCCGTATGTTTCGAAGCGTACGCCATTTTGCCGGTGGAATGTTCGTGCGTAATTGTCCGTGGCCCGTCAACGAACGAAGCCCGGCCCCTCCCCCGGTCGGTAACCCTGAAACGGTACTGCGAAACCGGCGTGAGGTTGCTGTTCATGATGTACCCATACGATATTTTATTGTTACATGTACGATATCCTAGTCGTTCTCATTATTCGATACCTTTCCGTAATGGATAATGGTGAAAATCTGATCGAATAGCTGAAAATTGCATTTATTCCGGCCGGTACACGTGTTATTTTTCGTTACAATTAAATTGTGCGTTTGTGCGACCCGCCTCGACGTTTACGTTTCCGTATGTTTTGAAGCGTACGTCATTTTGCCGGTGGAATGTTCGTGCGTAATTGTAAAGACCCATATGTCTCGCCCTCTGCTCGTCGGTGCTGTATTTTCGTCTAGCATGATGACCATAAGGGGGGGGGTCGTTCATTCACCAGTATATACCCTATGCCCGGTCACCAATTGGTACGCCTCCGCTTCTGCGTAGTGATGCTTTCAGTACGTCAGTGGTGATGAATATTGCATTATAATGCCAATCTCCCCGGTAGCAGAGTGGGTAATCCATCCGCCCTGGGATCTGTGTTCCTGCCCATGCCCACTCCACGCCTGATGGCTGGCTGGTGCGTCTCTCGGAGCTCGTCGTATAACGAAACCTTTATTCCAAGGATGCGCTAGTCCACTCTGCCTCAACGACCGCTGATGCTAGGGTGGTGCAATTCGACACAAACCCGTATGTCGCTAGGCCTTTGGCCCTGTTCAGTAATCCTGGTTTGGACGGCGCGGGGTTGGTTTCCTTGTCGATTGTTTCCCCTAGCAGTGAGGTGGCGACTAGCTTACCATGGTTACGGGCCGTGTCTCTCCCTACAGCAACCCAACGCAGTCTCTGGGTCTGTTAAGCCAGTTCCATTGCCCAAGCACTATCGTCCATATTTGGGGGGGGCTCTGTCCCATTCTTCTCGCGACTGTTGAGCCCTTGATCAGGATCCGGCGGTGGGTGGGCTGTTCTTTGCTGCTCTGCGTGCGCGTAGGTACGCTGCAATCCGCCGTGCTGTCTCAGTGAAGAATACCTCTGACACCGCCCTCCGCCACTCGACAACTTTCCCTACCTTTGCGGCGGTCTCGGCTAGCCTGCGTGTCCGCTGGCAGCAGTCAGCTGGCGAGCACTTGTTTAATGGTGTAACCCGCCAAAATACTAAAGATAACGTATATTTTCTCTTTACAACGTTTGACGGATTCAACCGTTTTAACCTTTTCTGTATTATTCCGAATTTAACACTAATAAAAATGAAGTATAGGGTTATTTCGTTTATTAAAAATTATATTCCTTTTGACCAAATATTACGGGGTAATATTATTTTTAATTTTGAGTTGTAATGTACATCTTTCGATTGCCGATAGTTATCAAGAATTGAATACGAAGGTGTGATTAAAAAAAAATTATGTCTTTATTTTACAATTATTTATGAAAATGTTAATGTGAAAACAGTAATTATTGGTCGTATATAAAAATATATGTTTGGCTGGTTAAGCCGATTGTAGTGGTGGAACAATAAAAAATGCCGATTTATCGGTAAACTAATTTTTTCATTCGTTGACCAATTAACGAAAATACTACGAAGTTATAATGTGACAACGCAAAGACACAACTTCATTACGTACATGCACCTACGGACAATTTTGTCTGTACGTGCATGAAGAAGTTAATTAAACCATTTACGTAAAACTGCAGGAACAATTATAACAAAACCTGCAACACTCAGTCCCACTAAAATCCCCGTGACTGCAAATTTGGAGGTTAGTAATGCTCTTGCAGACCACCTATCACGTGACCGACCCTCAGAAATTGAATTGATCTTATCCAGTGAAATTTCTGGCTACGGTTCATGTTTCGAAGTAATACTTTTTTGAGTTAATGGTGAAAATAAATTTCCCGTCAGCGGGAATCCAACCGAACTATGGTTCAATATAGCGTAATAACGCTGAGGATATGCGAAAACACCTTTCGCCTCACTGGACCTAAGCGGTGCGTTATTGGCGGTGATATCGTGATAATCGGATGTGACAATGGAACCACTACCGGGTTCCGGATCGACCGAATCGACCGATGATTCGATCGCGGGCTGCATTAAATCGCCAGTTACTTCTTCACTGTACTCGGTGACGGAAGTGCCATTTTTGTCGTCGAGCACGTCGGGTTCAACAGTAGTTATACAGTTTAAATTTTCTTTCCTTTCCAATAACATCTCCCTTGGCGCGAAGCAAGTCTATTGATTTTAACATGCGTTATTATCGAATACGCAATTTATGTTATTTAATTTTTTTATATAAATGCGTATTTTACCTCCGACAGATTCGGCCTGACCAACCTCAAGAGTGCGCATAAGCATCGTACTTGTACTTTACAACTGTTTTTATTCACCAGTTCGTTTACGTACGACCATACCATTTCTTTGAGATAAACCCCTAATTTGAACAGTTCGCCTATGAACCTATAAAACGGCGCAAAACACATAAATAATATGGAAAAAATGTAAAACATTCTCGGTGTATATTATATTTATAAATATTGAGAACTTACTGACAATTCGTTACGAATTCATTGGTTCGGCGTTCCGTGCATTGTCTCGTCTAAAACAAGATTATAAGAGTATTTATAACATAGTTTTTATACGGGAATCTGAATTTACTATGAGATTTTGTGTCGGTACCCAGTGGCCGGTGTTATAAAAAATAAATTTGAAAAATATGTGCTTATAGTACATTAATAAAACTCGAGCAATAGACCATAGTCATTTTGCGAATGTCCAAATGACCAATAAGTATCACATTATTATCTATAATCAAAAAATACTGTAAACCCAAAACACGTACGCTACTAGGTTAGCACAGTNCAACTGATAGATTGACCAGAGACATATTTTTATGGACAGTCCAGATATATTTATAATATAAATGTTTGTGATTACTGTATTCGACTATTAATACAAAATGTTTGATTTGAAAATAGTGCACGAATTATCGGAGAAAAAGTGGGTGTGCTGGCCTAACCGCCGTTAAACAAATGATAAATTAATAATAAAATTATAATTTATAACAATTCTAACTCAGTTATTCGGCAGTATTATTATTATCATCTTGAAAGGACGCCACACCGATATATTTTACCGTATCTTGCAAACGCAAGACAGCACATTTGAGTTCAGTAAAGCAAATTAACTTGTTACCAAACTTCTTAATGGTAATGCATGCTCTACCGTCTTTCGATATTTTAACTAAATGTTAAATGTATCCTACTGAACGCAAATTTGCCATGGGTCGCGTTTGTTATGTGTCGGTGTGGCGTCCTCTTGACAAAAATCATATTATTTATCCATAGTCAATGAGACGCGACGGTGTCGTGCACTGTCGACAGGGTACCTACCTATATTACGATTTTAGACTTGATCGTTGAATTTGAACGACAATTCCAAAATATTTAAAATTAAAAATTCTCAGAAAAAGTATTTGAGGTTAGGTATTTAATACTCCTGTATTCAATAGTAGAAAAAACTATTTAAAATGTATTCCAATACTTATAAATAAAGAGTATTTTAAATTACGTATTAAATTCTTGGAAAAGAATTTAAATACCATTACACTCGTATAATTTTACGCAAATGCTTAACAAGCACTGTCGGTACCTCGGAAATCTTGCAACATTCTTTAAGATTATCGTAACATTTCGGCAGCAATGCAGTTTGGAATGCCGGCCCAGAATCATCGGGATGCGCATTGTTAAAGCCGCCCTTAATCAACCTAGCGCACATTGCCGCATACAACTTGATATATTTCGGACGTGCCAAAGCCTAAACGGGATGTAATACACGCGACATTACGATCATTGACCACGTTCAAAAATATCCGTGCTCGACAATTATCATCTATAATCGTTCTTACTTTAGAGTGTATTACCCCGGCGACGACGTTTAAGTGACTTGTTTTCGTCACCGGCAGTGCTCTAACTTTTCTATACATAGCTTCATAATTACCCGGGTTCAAACTGTTGACGGCCGAACCGACAATGTTAGCGATTCCCTGTGCAAAATAAAATCCGACGGTTAAAATATATAAATGTAAACATATTTAAACATATTCCGTTGTTTATTAGTCTGTACTTACCAATGATTGAGTCATGATGAAAGCTAGAAATGAAAGATGCAGCGTGAGAGCATATACTATATGTAGTACACGGTTTTTAAATAATTTGAAACTGCGAGAAGTTCGCGATTAATAAATATGAAAAAAACCGTGAATGAACAAGAATAGTGAAAACGAGCGCTTTTATAGGGCCGTGAAGGTAAACAAGAACGCCGTTACCATCACGGTCGACAATATTTATTTAAAACGTCGTCAAGTGTCAAATGTTCGGTCTTAAAATACAATTAATAAATTTCCTTTTGCTAACTTTAGTGTTTTGAATTTACCAGTTGCTGAAATTATGTCATTTGACGGTATAAAGCTTGAGTCTGACGATTGTGTGATATTTTTGTTAATGAGTTTAATCGTAGAGGTTAAATTGTTGGGTTTGGTATTTTTACCAGTTGACGGCATGTTTATAAATTGATATTTATTTAATTAATTACCCAATAAATAGATAAGGCGGCTTTGGTCGAGTCGACCTTCTGATAGCCGATACGGCATCCGGCAGGAGTTGGACGTTATTTACGTTAATAAAATGGGATTGAGCCTAGAGAGGCTAAAAATAATAATACGCGGTTAGATAAGCACAACGTAGCGCGGCAGGTGGTGCACTGGACGATGGCTAGCGCGAGACTAATTAATAGAAGTTAGTGAATTATTTTTATTATACAAGACCAATTTTTTTTTAGATTTTGTGGCCGAACCATTTTCTTTCGTTAAAACTCGCACCCTTTTTATTTTTTTTTGTAAAACAAATATAATTTACATACGTAATTAAAAATAAAATGTAATAATTGTATACGAATTATACAAGATGATCTGACTTTTCAATTTTCTTTTACTTTTTTCTATTTCACTGGGAGTAAGATCAGTGCAGTTCTCCTCGAATTGATCTTTTGTGTTTGATTCTTATAATATAAAAATATTTTTATAAAATACATTTTTGTTTCCTATCATTTATGTTTTTATATTTATATAATTCAATTTATATAACATCAATTATTCTTATAAATAGATTAAATAGTTGTTTTCAGAATTATAAATTCTGGTTTATTGTGTAAAATTGCCGTACGTACAATTTGTATTATTAATTAACTGTTTTACACAAGTGATAAAATATACACTGTTCATATAATGAAATAGTATTTGTCAGTTAAATTAGTGTAAGAATATATCATATACAAGAAAAAATAAATAAATATCATATCGATTTTTATAAAAATAGTTTTCACTGATAAAGTCATGCTGTGAACTATTATTTTAATAAAATTAGTCACTGATTTATCTTAACCTTAGTTTACGAGAGGCCATTTTAGGTTTAAAAAACAATTGTATAAGTGTTCCATGAAAATATTTATTGTATATCTCCGGAGTTGGATTAGATAATAAAATTTTGTTTTTATTTTTATATTACTTACAGGGATAAGAACTAGCACATTTACACTGAAAATAATTTTTTATGCTTTAAAAAAATCCTTTTTATTTTATTATTTTTGAAAAATTTGAAGATTCCCATTTTATAGAGTTTATTTTTCTGGAAATGTTGATATCAATTTTTATTTTCGTTAAAGTCAGGATTTTTAATAATTTTTTAAAGTCCAGAGAAAATTACCTATAATAATATGTATAACCTGCATAATATATGCATCAGTTTGTGTAATCTCATTCATTTATTTCTATTTGTGCGGTGTGGAAGTGGTTTCCAACTTCTGTACCTACTGAGCGACGATGAGGCGCAGGTGCTGGCCGTGTGGCGGTCGTGGGAAACTGTCCGTCTCGAAAATCCGTCCCGGCACGCGGTGTGGCGGAGTAGCTGTTCGTGCGTTCGTTTATACTAAGCGTCGTTTAATTATATCCCAGTTTTTCCGGCACGGTGGTTTCTGTTTCGCGTACTCCGGTCGTATTATCGTACCGCACCATCGTAATGCAATAAATAACCCACGGTCCTAGCTGATTATATCTAAATTTGTAACCTTTTCCGTTGTATATCCTTAATTTATCCTATTATATACTAAAATGAACCATAAATAACGATTTATACATTTTGTCGTATGTTTTGTGTGTAATATTATCTGTATGTACAGGCCATTTGTTATACAATATTATGTATCCTACAAACGTCCTGGGACACATTTGTGTTTACTGGGTATTAATACACAGTATTATTCCGTTTATACAAAATAAAATGTAAACAAAATACAAATAAACTACTATAATTAAACCACTGAATACTGGTTAATTTATAAATCACGTTTGACAAAGTACATTATCTTAGTAAAACAAACATTTATAAAATTTTATTTTGTTTGAAGTTTATTAGTCACCTTCGGCTTTAGATGAACTGGGTAGATTTGTAAAATCCATCATGTAATTTTTAAAGTTAATATATTTTTGTGGGTAAAAGACATGCAAATAAATTATTACTAATTTGTAATTTAAACAACTATAAAATAGTACTCACGTAATTTATCAGTTGGCACAAACAAACACGACCGAAGTGTAAATGAAAATTAAATAAATAATCAATTTCTTGACCACATTCACACAGTTTACGCGATACACCGGTTCAGAACCACTGCCCCCTATAGCCCCCGGTTTGTCAATCTCACGGGGAGCTGTAGCGTCGGAAGGAAAGTAGAACATAGATAATAAAGAACAAAATAATAGTATATTTCATCTTTTAATTCGTGATAATTATTAAATGCTACCATTAAGGCCGCGTTACACATGTGCGAGCCGCTCCCAAAGGGCATGTGTCATGCCACGTGCACACTTGCGAGCCGCTCGCGAACCAATACCAACAACAAACGCATACCGAAATACCGGCAGTAGCGTTTGTGCTTGTCTACTAGTAACTACTATGTCTTTCGAAGATTATGTAATGCTGGTAATGAGTAGTTCGACTATATTGATGGCTCATTTGGAAGAAAAACAAAGAAAAATGCGAAAACAACGAAGTTGGTGGCAGACTGATTTGTAAGAAAAAAGGAATGTTATGGAACTATTTATTATTGGATTTAAAGTCTCGGAAAATAAGCGGTCGGTACAAACATTTTACTAGAATGTCACCAAATGATTTTGAGAATCTACTACAAATAATAGTTAAGTAATTACCCGGAATTACTAAGCAAGATACATATTTTCGCTCTTCAATCTCGGCTCAAGACAGGTAGACCAGGCGATTTCGCTCCATTCATCCTCTTTTAAATGTTTTTTAAAATGGTCCTCATGTTTAGGATCCCACAATAAAGATTTTTTTTTTTTTATAATTTGTAAACACACGCAGAGCGAAGGCGCGTGCCGTTGGTTAGGCCGTCTTCATACGGGGCAACTCCCAGGCGACACGACGGATACTCCAGTATTGTCTGTTTGATTTCCTTGTCAGTAAGATACCCATAAGCAACCCACCGCAACACACTGTGCTACTCTGAAGCTATTGCGAAGCGACGATATCTCATCAGTCTAGGTTTAGCCACTATTTGCTTATAACCTTGTTGCTGAGTTTTCAATATGTCGATACGTCGAGTGATTGATGATGATGTATTAGTCGCCTATTATTACAACTATCCAGTTTTTTTCGAAATGCATGTTTTTACATATTCTGATAAAGAAAATTGTTCTCTACATTTCGGCTCAATAACCAGCTATCTCCGGAGATTTTACATTATAGTGTATATTCTACACCTAATACCTATACATTTGATGGTGTGACTGGTGTAAGTAATCTATTCCTTATCAAAATATGTAAATTCTATGTGAAAAAATGTACAATTTTTGTTAAAAGAAACAAAGCTAATATTATTTTATCAGTTATCACTTATTATTAATATTAAACATATTTTGTTAGTTTTTTTTTTGTTAGTTTCTTTTATATTATGCATTTTTAATATTGTTTTAATTATATTATATAGTATATAATATATATATCACTTCCTATATTGGATTTAGATAGTGATTTACAAGATACTCGAGTATCTGTCGCTTCGCCTGGGAGTTCCTTCGTATGAAGGCCTTAAGGTCGTTGAAAAGACCGGACAGGGCAAGAACGGTGAATCAGACCGTGACATCCCGACGTACTGAATGAATATGAATTGATGTCCACAGAACTTGGGCGTGATTATGATTTTAGCCGTATTATAGACTGTAGATTATTAGATAATGTGTATCGATTAGGGTTTACGATTTCACGTGTAATTATGAAACACGTGCGTTGATCCGTGTATTTAATAATATTCGTGATTTTGTCATTAATCGTTGAGCAATCACGTCCAGTGACGTTGAATATTAATATTCTGACTTAAAACTACACCGTGTAATACATTTATGTATTGTCAATAAAAATAATGTTATTTATTTGTTAATCTCCGACCACGTTAAGACGATGACCGCTCGCGCAGGTCAGATAATACTATTTCAACTCCGCGACCGCCTCACGTTCCATTATGAAAACAAACATTAATTATATAGCGTGTGCTAATTATTTAATTACATACACTGTGTGCGTAGTTTACGCTATATTATTAATTTCTTTTAAAGTAAATAGTAATGTTGGAATTGTATTAAATTACCAGTTCATTTCATTATAGTAGTCACTTGTGTTCTTTTTGGATTCGAATCACAAGAGACCACCTGGCACAAAACCGTTGTCTGAACCGATATGCAGTTTAATAAACCTTTTTCTTTTATTCGTAGGATTTGGAGGGCCGGTTGATAGTCCTTCCAGGAAGGCTTGTCTGTGAGACTTGACGGTTTCGTCGACCCATACCAACACAATCGCCAGTGTTCAGCCAGGTTTTATCTAAATAGTAAACTGTTCTTCTTTCTTCTCTAAATTGACTGTTATCAAATAATTTCGACGCCATATAATAAGGTTTGTTCTTTCAGTAAGAATGCTATTCCTATTCTTTTTACAAAATTTGAAACTCAAACTCTTGAGTATTTTCCGTAAAGACTCGCGTTTGAAATTCGGTAATGAGTCGTCATTATTGACAGCCTTCAATATTTTAGAAATTGTCGGCATTTCTTTATTGAACCAAAATTTATGTATTTTATGGGATATGGCGTTTTCGTCAAATTCATCCACTTTATCACAGTTTCCTTGGCGGTTTCTTTTACGGTTTGATGATGTCAACAATATATTGATTTTGTATTCGGATACCGTTATACGAACACGATTTATTTCAATTCCTAGATTTTTAGATATGAACTCCATCAAATCCTTATATTTGATATTAGGCACCTCAGACTTTTTTGACTTATACAAATTTACGATCATTTGTTTTTGAGTACTGCTGATTAACTGAAATAATAGTATTGTTAGTTAGTAAATTAATATTACTATACCAATATTTCTTATTATTTTAATAAATAAAACTTTACTTAATAACTTATTTACTTTAATATTATTTTTTATGAAGTAAATTAGTTTTTAATTTGTACTATTATATATTCATTATACTTACTTTTTCTGACGGGTTTTTTTTCACTGGTTATGGAAATTGATCGTTCTCCATGACGAAAATCACAAATACAATTAACAGTTAACAAACAAAATAATTTGAAACTAAAATGTACAAGTAAAAAAACAAACGTTCGACGTTAACTACAACACCGTGTATAATGTTGTATTTGGTGTGTATGAGCAGTTGTTTTTGTAATCATCAAAAACCGGTCAGCTTATCAGATACGTGCGATAACTGAATAGGAATTGCGGGACGGGGAACTGTCCGAACTGAACGAAAACGAGTCGGCCGCCCGGTCATCGTCTTAACGTGGTCAGAGTATAGATTCTCAGCTGTATGGCGTTCTTCCATTGCATGCGTGCCAAGGGTATAAAAGCTAACGTTCCAATGTGAATCAATTGTATGTGCAGTTATAGATACGAATCCTGAGGTATCGAAGACCAGCCGTCAGTTGTACAGATGATACTTTTAATCTGATATAGATTTTCCTTTATTTTTGTTTCAACTGTCTCTTTTAATCTATTCTAGCTTTTATTGCTTCTTGCTTAAAAACCTTATAATTGGGCTCAAGGACAGCCATAACATTTTTGAATCCTCTAGCTTGAACAAAATGAAATAGGTAATGGATTCATTGATATTAACTTTGCTAATGATTCATGAATGAGTTCTGTTTGTTCACGACTGCACGCAAATTTAGTATTTTGACCATTTGATACATTACGTCTTTTGCGTTTTCGACTTACTGGTGACGTACGAGGTGTGGCTATTACATAACGAGACTGATCGCCTAGAAGGCGCCCTAGATGGGGAGTGAAAAAAACGAGCAATGCGTTGGGTATATAGATATCTTATATATGCACTTACCAAAACACGTTTTCGTCACTATTATAGTATTTATGCAGTATTGGTTTGAAACTAACGTGTTTTTTTCTCGTGCCGAAAACCATGTGTGACGAAAAACAGGAGCAACGTATCAATCTCAAATTTCTCGTTAAATTGAAAAAAACTCCGACCGAGTGCTATAAATTGTTGCCAGAGGCCTATGGAGGAAATTCTCTATCTCGTGCACGTGTTTTTGAGTGGTATAAGCGCTTCAGTGAGGGCCGAGAGAGCACTGAAGATGACCAGCGCCCGGGTCGCCCTGTCACTGTTTCAACTCCGGAAACAGTGACCAAAATCAACCAAATTGTGGGTGCAGATCGTCGAATGAGCATCCGGATGATTGCCGAGGCTGTAACCGCCGATAAAGAAACGGTTAGAAAAATTTTACATGAGGAATTACATATGACAAAAGCCTGTGCGAAGTCGGTGCCAAAAAACCTGACTCCTGACCAAAAGTTCTTGCGTCAACAGGTCTGCTGGGATTTCCTTGAAAAGTTAAAAGAAGATCCCGGACTGATGAAAAACATTATAACTTGCGACGAAACATGGATTTTTCAATACGGTGTTGAAACAAAGCGACAATCGATGCATTGGAAGACACCTGAATCGACCAGAATCAAAAAAGCAAGGATATCCAAATCAAAATTTAAGGCAATGTTGATCGTTTTTTTTTGATATTAACGGTATCGTGATGACTGAATGGGTTCCAGAGGGTCAGACTGTCAACCAGATTTACTATTTATCAGTTTTGGCAACACTGCGAGAAAGAGTTCGTAAGAAACGGCCCGAGTTGTGGAAGAACAACTCGTGGATTTTGCACCAGGACAACGCACCTGCCCATAACGCGCTATCTGTGAAGCAGTATTTGGCCGGTAAGCGCACTCCAGTGCTCGAACACGCGCCGTACTCGCCAGATTTGGCACTGTGCGACTTTTTTTTGTTTCCAAAGATAAAATCTGCTTTGAAAGTGACCCAATTTGAGTCGATGGAAGCGGTAAAGCAATAAACGGCAGAGCTCCTAAAGGCCCTCACTAAAGAAAACTTCCAGAACTTCTTTGATCAATGGAAAAAACGTATGGAAAGGTGTGTGGCGAGAGGAGGGGAGCATTTGAATGTAGAATAAATTTTATAATAAAACACTTGTAACCAGTCTCGTTATTTAATAGCCACACTTCGTATATTCAACATTTGACTCAATATCATAAACTGGACTTTGCTCTTCACCTATGCCATCAGAGTCATCATTTTCGACGAAAGATGAAGGTAATATAGAGATGCAGGTCGATGAACTAAAATCACAAATTAGGACATTTTTCGAATTAATTAATTTAATGTTTGGCTGAACAGTGGCACGAAAGGTAGACACAAGATTCATCATAATTTGTACTGTTGTACTTATAAGTCGGGAAAGGTTAAGGCAGAAACGGTTTAATCGATCGATAAAATAAAAATATCTGATACTGAGGACGGGTGTAGCCACTGTTGACGGTGGGAATTCGGGAAAGTAGGATTTTTTGTTTTTAAAAATTTATGAAACAAACTTATCTAAATTTTATATTTACATTATTTTTTGTTACCTTAATTTTTGGGGGTGAAACGATTACCTCCCATATGTCAAAAGATATTTTATTTTTAATGATACCTATTATTACATTTGTTACATTAAAAATGTTATTTCATTGTTAATATAATGTTATTTGGCCAACAGTTTGACATATAAATATCAAGAGTATAATGATAATTTATATAATTTACGTAATGTATACAATTTATTTCATTTGTTAACACATTAGCGCTGCCATGAGGCCACTGGCAGCCACAAGAATATGTATCATTAGTACGCCAAATAAATTTGTCAATTTCATCAGAAATTTGTATGTATACTATTGAATTTGAAGAAGAAAATATAAAATTGAAAAAAAGTTAAAAAATATGTTTTTTCAATTGATTTAATAAATTGATTTTAGGTACTAACCTTTTTCCGCATGGATTTTTCTTTATTGGAGAAACAACTGCCGCATTGTCCATGTCCATAATAATTAATAAAAACACTCAAATTGCAAATTAGATAAACAACAAAAAATGTAGGCACGTGAACAACAAAAAATCGTGTTAACTCTTAATACATTTAAAACGTAGTGACAATACAATTCACACTGTTTAAACGAATTGGCCGATTCCGGCGGTGGCAACGCTGCTTGTAGTGGGGATGCATGCGCGAGTTTCGACTGGTTTTCGTTCGCCATCCTTTGCGCTCTTAGCCTGGATAGTGTATAGTACGGTTTACTCGAAAAATATTTTATCCGATTTCATATAAAAAAATTTGTTTGTATCTTAACATACATAATATATATAAATACGGATTTTTTAAATTTTAAACAGTAGACTAATTGTGATCCAAAATTGGTCGCGACCAATAGTTTGAAGGCCACTGCACTAGACTACATACCCAATGGTTGAGAAGGAATTGATTTTATGACTATATAAGTTATATTCAGTCAATTTCAAAAACCTATATTAAAAGTGCTATAAATAGATGGAGTATTAGTTTATTTTTGAATTTTGTCAATTCGTTGACGAGATAATCCACTTCTAAGTTTAGGTAGGGGGAGAGTAGCTAGCGGAGCATAATTTCTGTGACACCACATACGGCGGAAACATTTGAAAATTAAAAGCATGTAGTCGTTTCACCTCCAAAAATTAATGTAAATATAAAATTTAGAGCAGCTTGTTTCATAAACTTTTAAAAAAATACAAATTTCGATATATCGAGTGGACACTTAAATGGATCACCCTATATAGTGGAATTTAATTAATATCTGTATGCAACGATTAATAATCTATAACAATATACGAGCGAAGTTCGATAAGACATTTTTTGAAATATCGTAATTTTGTACGGATTTTGTTTCTAATAACTTTTCGTCGCAGTTTTGCAAATTTGTAGATCTTTGTTTTATCCAAAATGTTATCATTTCATTGTTACAGCTTTGAGGCCAAATACCAACATCGTTTTCAAAACCAATAAAAGATTTCGACATATCCGATTCTACGATGGGTTCATTTTCTATAGTATTGGTATTTTCGGTATTTAATTTATGAAGTTCAGAATCATCATTTTTTTCCTTTTCTATAGGTAGATTAAATGTTACTTGTTTTGATTAAAATTGATAATTAGACACATTTATAAATTATTTTCATTAAAATTAAATCTTTTATCACTTAAAATATTTTTGTACAAAGAAAAACTACATTCTATGTCTACACTGGTTATTGGTGCATATTTAAAACAATTTAATAAAGTAGACGTTATATTTAAATTAAAATTTGCTTTACCTGACATGACTTCATAGTAAAATTAGCTTTTTATACCCTTCATTTTTTTCAATTACACACATATGTTTTTCTTTAATTTTTTTCCTATTTGGACAAGGAATATTTGTTAAAATATTTTCAATTTTTCCAAAAATATCCATGCTTTTCAGTAGTTTATTATTAGATTCTTGCAAATTTTAAAGATTCATAGATAACCCGGTTAAGTGTAATTTCATGAATGCTAAACCACACTGGACTGCATTATTTTGTACAAGGTGTTTCAGCTTTTCGACACGTGTAGCATCGTCTGTTAAACTTTCAATCACGTTTTTAAACTCTTATTTGCATAGAAAAGTGTAGCATTTAACCATGTTCTCCATCTTGTAATAATATGTTTCGGGTGGTAAAGTTATACACGGATTTTTTTCTTTATTCTGGATGGTGCGTTTAGGAGAGCTTTTTTTCCTGATTTATGTTAATTGCAAAAAAAGTTGCAATATCAATTAAATTCGGTCTTTAATTATAACTAACAAGCATATTTGTGGCGGATTATCGGTTAGTTAATTGATGTATATGTACCTTATATAATAGTCAAGACGGTATCTTTTCGCGTGGGTCAATCAACTGATTTAATAAAATACCTATTAGTATAGGAGAAACAGAATGTCCATTAATAATAAAATTTCGTATTTAATCGAGAGGCCCTGAAACGGGTAACAAACATATTGTGATACACGATCTACAGACGGGTCGGAACACGGCAGTTTTAGTAGGCACCACCAGGCGGACGTACACATCCATAACGCGGGAAAAACATATAGATACGAAAATTATCCCGTGGGTTGTGGCGGGTTGTGACGTGGCCGTCGAATGGGCCGGGGTGCGGGGTGAATGGGGAAACGGTGCCGACGACCTTCCGTCGGTGAGCCGCCGCTACGAACGCACGCTGAATTTTCGTAACGATCATTTTGGGCCATCGCGGTAAGGCCCGGTGCACACATGCGTTTTTTTCACTCACGGCACCGCGACGACACCACTACAATTCAATGCACACATGGCGTGAAATAACGCTCTTAGTACGCATTCAGTAACACACTCGTACACACCAGTTTTACTGTTTGCTTAGTTTTGATCTTGTATACAAAAAATATATATTAAAAAAAAATACTACGATTTTGGGTACATCCTTTTACTGATGTAAGACTCACAAAAGGTATATTTCATACATTTTTTCAAAATTTAAAAGAAAATCCTGATAAATTTTTTAATTATTTCCGAATGAGCATAAAATCTTTTGACGATCTTGCTGAAAAAAACACGATGCAGAATAAGTCTCAAGACACTCATATGAGATTGTCTATACCTCCACTGAAAATGTTAGCAGTTACTCTGAGGTAAGTAAATTTAGTAAAATTCTATTTTGATTATTTATTATAAATAAGGTATAGCAGTAAGTAATATCAGACATGGAAGATGATGATGATGGAGATATGGGGTTAAAATGTCTAGGACTTTGTGATTGAGTTAATGTAGTATGTGATGGACGCATTGGAAAATGTGTGGAAGATTGGTGAAATTGAGGTCGATTTGAGTATGATAATAGGACACAAAGGACCACCGGATAACGTGCGTTGAATTTATAGTATGTAATATTAGGATATTCATAATTCTGTAGAGGTGGTGGATTCCTCATTCGTTTTATAATGTGTTCAAAACTTCACAACGAAATTCTTATTTCTCATCTTCCGTGAAATTGTTGATGTATGGAAGAATACTTTCAAAAAAGGATCTGTCTGGATTTGTTTCTGGAATGGCCAATATTATAGTCGAAGATGGAATAGGAGCATTTATAAAATCGATTAAAGAAGTCTCTGATTTTGCACGTTTACGCTTTCTTGTAGAGTTTTGTGTATATAGAGGAGGAGTTTTAGTACCATCAAGATCTAATGGTACTTATTCAGATTGGTCCAAATCTTCCTATTCGTCATTTAGCACGTTAAACGCCGACGACGATTAGGCAAGTGCGCGCCTGGCGCCGCCGTCGATTGACATGCGGGTGCCTGTCGCCGCGCGTATAATACGCAAGTGTCAACAACGGGTTGACATCGGCCATGGGCGCTCGTTTCCAGCAATTAATAATTAATTTTTATTTTCAAATAACCACTAATAATACATAATATATAATCATAAATTATAATGAAACTTTCAAAATATTTAAAACAAAAAAAATCAAAACATATTTTTACTTTGAAATTATACACTTTGTATAATAATAACACTGTATACTGTATACACTGTAACTCGTATATATAAATACAAAATAAGAACAACACTTAAATAAACTAAACTAAAATTAAAACAAATTATATCTTTTACTTAGTATAATAATAAAATTTAATACTCAAAATAAAGATGAAACATATAATGTAGATAATAGACTATGCATGATAAATTTCAAAACAGGTTTCAATGCATAAATCAGGTAGATCTTCACAACTGGAACAGTAAAATAATGTTGTTTTTTTCCGTATGCTGTTTGAATGGCACACCTAACATCTTTTTCTCAAACATTTTTTTTTTCATTTTTTGAAACTTTTATAGGATAGTGCGAGTTTCTTATTTCTGGAGGAAGTGGAGGAACATTTATGTTTATTTGATTTTTTACTAATGCTGTAATTACAGAAAGTCTAAAATCATCCAAACTAAATTTTTTTACGTTTTCTATGTATATGTAGTAGGAATTTAGCAAAAATGTTATTATTGAAATATACTACTATTGGTTCAAAGTAAATTTTATAATGACTTAATTTTAATCAATTTTATTATAATTTAAAAATCATAATCAAGACGTCTATTGTTAATTTTTTTATAGTATATGTAGATAAATACCTAATACTATTACAATAAGTTAAATTACCTACATTGTCTTATATTTTTTGGCAGTACAAAAAAGTTTCTTAGTAGTATTTTTTAAAGTATTAATTAACCAATGTATATCTTACCTATAAGTTACGACCAATTTTTCTACAGGTGAAATACAGTGTCTCATATTTGTATGTGCTGGCTGGTTAAATCATCTTTAAGAATGCCGAAAAGTTCATCAAATGAACTGATCGACATTCTTAAATAATTAAAACATTTTTCTTCATATTTTCTTAAATCATAATAAAATAAATTGAACAAACTTTTTGCTGAGCGATCAGCAATTAATGGATATACCAGTGTCTGGTGGCGTCATCATGATCGCGTCACCATAGCGGCGTCGTGTGAAAGGGGTCCCTTAATCTGCATAATAAATAAACGGTACAAACAGTACTAAGAGTAAATCGCAAATTTCAATAAATAAAATCTCCGCATGATTCACTCCAAAGGAAGATCATTAGTTGATACGTCTTGAATCTCAATTAAATAAGGATTACACATCTGGTTCTGCGAAACCATCATAATATTCAACACATCTAAAAGATCCTTCATTGATAAAACATTACTAGTATCTTAAATTGGATTTAATATGCTGGGCCCAGGATCTTTTTGAAAACTTCAATTTATTGATTTTTAAACTCAATTTGTAGAAAATCAATGACACTATTGACCATTTGATAATTTTGTTTTTACTTTATTATTTTTTTTATTATTTTAAATTAACTTACCATTTCGACGCATTCCTCTCCTTTTCCGAATTTGGCTTTAATCTCTCAATAGATTGTAATGAGGGATCATACAAATAAATCTGAAAATTTTTTACATATTATGATCATCAAGCAATGTTTTATTAATTAATTTTATAAAGTTTAAATAGAAATTATAATCATCGTGACTTGTATTTATATTTATAATGGAAGACATTTTAAGTGAAAATGGTTAAGAACTGATTTTGATGAAGGATGAAGAATGAAACTAATGAAGAAGCGAGGAATTTATTGGTTTTACTATGATGTTTATGAAAATAAAAATAAAAAAAATTTAATAAATAAATATCACGGTAAAACCAATACCATTCCTCGCTTCGCTCTGAATCGAATAGTTTTTAATCTAGATTTCTAATATCTCTAACTTTTTAACTTTTTAACTTAAAAAGTTATGTTAAGTATGTTTATTAAATTATAATCAAAATAAAGATGATTAGAAAAATTTTCAATTTTGTCAATCATGACATTAAAACCGGATAAAATGTATGATGTATATACAAATTCTCCATTGATATTAGTATACACGGCTTCTTCATACTATAAATATGTTTTTAGAAAATCGTAAATTATCCTATATTTTCAACATAAGAAAACATTTTTAAAAATGTTTAATATTAAATGTCCAACATCTGGATTCTGGTTGCTATAAGAAAGTAAATCAAAAAGGCAACAAAAATAGTGTCTAGTGATTTTTCTATTAATTCATTTTTTCTGGTAGAAAACATCACCCGTGTTTTTATAAAATAATGTACGTTTTCCTATGTGTCCCCCCCCATGTGCTTTTATTTATAAAATAGCGTCGAAAATCAAAAAAAATGGTCTGTCTAAAGTATCAAATAGATAACTTGAGCTTTCAGAAAAGTTGCTACGCGTAAAAATATGAGCAAGGTTACCGAGAAAAACCGTGTTCACAGACTAGAACGAAGAAAAAAAAATTAAAAGCATTGTAAAACACCATTTCTCCCTCGTTACTATTATGAGATTCTACGAATCTAAAATATATAATTCAAATAAAATGCTATTTTAATAGTAATATTAAAGTGACAAGTAATAATATATTTTTGATAAATATTGGTTAATTGAAGTTTCACCACTATTATGTTTATAAATTAAACTTTGCGTCTCTCGTTTTTTTGTTTTAGAATTTTCAAATTTAAAAGGTTTATATTTATAGGTACAATTTAATTTCATGTAGGTATGTTTCTATTTAAATCATAACTTTTCTATAATATTAGGATGAGTCCTATAAAAATAAAAATGAGCGTGGAATGAATTGCATTCATTAGTGGTTATACAAGTAACGACTAACCAATAAGTAATGAGACTGTTTTTTTTTCGCCACGCTTGTGGTAACACTGCGAATCTGAAACTTCGTTCAGTTAATCTCTCATCCCTCCTCTATCGATACATGTGCTCGCGATTTTCGTACAATAATTAGTTTTTCAGTTGTGTTATGTCTTCGACAACGTGTTTGTAAGGCGTGTCAAATATCAGCGGTACGCGATTAAATTTTGCGTTAAACTCTGCGATTCCGTTATGGAAACGTACGATAAATTGGTGAAAGGGTTCGGTGATGAAGCCCTGAGTTGTGCTCAGGTGTTTCGATGGCATAAAAATTTTAAAAATGGTCGTGAAAGCGTCTGGGATGAACCGTGAAGTGGGAGACCGGTTGAAGCTCGAACTGACAACAAAGTTCAACGTGTGCGCACTCTCGTGCATCAAGATCGGCGTTTAACCGTTCGAATGTTGGCTGATGAACTTAATTTAAAACGAGAAACCGTCAGAAAAATTTTAACTGATGTTTTTTCCATGAAAAAGCTGTGTGCAAAGATGGTACCTTCATCATGACAATGCTCCATGCCATCGTGCCTTTAGTTTGTCGCGATTTTTGACCTCATAAGAACATCGCAGTGTTGCCACAAGCGCCCTATTCGCCGGATGTCACCCTGCGACTTCTTTTTGTTCCCTCAAACAACATTGGCTGTGAAAAGAACGCATTTTGTCCATAACTGACATCCAGAACGCCGTGACGAGGGTACTTCAGGACATTCCAGTCGTAGTCTTCCAGAAATGTTATGAGAATTGGAAAAAACGTTGGAATCAGTGTATAGTAGTGGGAGGGGAGTACTTTGAAGGGGATCACATCGATGTATCTTAATATTTAAATATACGTATTTTATTGAATTAGTCTNTCGTATTATAGGTAATGTTAGTGCGGTAAAGATAAATTAATATGCTCCGGATCTTTAAATTAATAGTAAAGAATAGATGTGCCAGTAAATAATTACATTAAATAATCGAAATTAAAATCATACGAAATGTAAGTAAACATCAATTGTTTTTAATATTATTATGATGATATCCAATTTTTTCGAAAAATTGATAAAATTCGCATAAATATGACTTATTTAAAAGTTTTATATTTGTAAACGGGATGCAGTTTACATTTTACCTTTTTAATATATATAAAAATTTCGGCGCAGTTTACATCAAACATTGTTGTTTGAAAACAGTTTACGTGTGCCCGTTGTAGTCAATTAATTTAATTAATTTTTTTTCGAAATTTTAATATGCATTCAAAATTATTCGGTTGTGCCTACATACCATTAAATTTGATAAAAAATCTGATATAAAAATTAAAAATCAAAAATGTAAATAAAAAGTATTTACGAGTATAGAATAGTATACATACATGTGACAAACATTTTCTTAAATAACTTTTCACAATTACGATTACGAATTAAAACTAAAGAATCAATGGAGAGACAATTATTAATTTAAGATTTAAGACTATTAGGTTAGTAGTGCCATCGCACACTCAGCCACCCTCAAATGATCATCCTCCCTAATTGATCAATAGTAGATTAGTCAAGTTAATTATTTTCAATAACTGGCATACTTTTAATTATAAATAATTGTGTTTTGTGAAATACAGAATATACAAATTTACCTACCACGATACTTTTTTACCGGGAAGATAGGAATAATATGGTATATATGCAACCCCTTTTAGTATACTTAATTGTGGACGTACGAATTACAAAGAATATATTCACCTCCAACATGTACCAGTGCAGTTTAACATCACATATCTTATACAGATAATACAATAAATTTTATTAAATATAAATTATCATTTTTTCCCCTTTTTTCCTTTTCCGCCTTTTTCGACAGTTCCGCCTTTGATGTTGGACTCGAAGTCCGATTCTTCACACTGTGTGAAGGCATCCACCATGACTACGCCTATTTGCTTGGGCAGACGTACTTCAATTTGCAGTACCTTTTTTTCGTCTTGGTACTCCTTAGCCACTTCTATAAAAAATACGTCCTCGGTTTTAGCGATCGGCAACCCCGTAACCATTCCAACAACCTGGTCCGTGGACGGCTGTAGTGAGGATTGCACCTTTATCAGGTGTTTCCGTTGCTTCGACAGTTCAGCACCACGGCTGAAAGCCATTGCCGACACAGGTGGACACATGGGCCGCACATTGAAGTACGTGGGGCTGGTCGGCCAGCTATCATTGGTCGATTCTGGTTGATTCAAGGTCTGGCCCAAATGGAATGTGATCCGGTCGTCACTCAAGCCCACCTCGCCAGATTTCAGTTTCAATTTATTCTGTCCGGTCTTTACCGCCGGTGTTTGGCTCTTAGTGCAGATTTTTTGCAACACCTACGATGATAAATTACCGTTTTTGTTTAAATTCATTATGATTTAGAAAGAGACGGGTGTTAATGTAAATCAAATGATGATTTGCGTCAATAATATCATTAGTATCTGGTAACTATTCGTCAATAAGAGGCTATTGATTTGACTCTTGTAAAAAGAGCCATGAGATTCAAAAAAAAGTTAAAAAGCGTCTGTGAGAGGTTGGATATAATCCGTGTAGCGTTTGATAGAT